GGCTTGCGCTAAGGCTTGAGCTAAGGCTTTCGCTAAGGCTTGAGCTAAGGCTTGAGCTAAGGCTTGCGCTAAGGCTTGAGCTAAGGCTTAAGCGAATGCGCTAAAGATTTCAGTGAAATATTGTGAAATATTGATGAATATTGATTGATTGCATTGATTGATTCGATAGATTTTAATAGATTCCAGCCTGAACAGCCTGAACAGCCTAAGCAGCCTTAAATTCCAGCCTGAACAGCCTGAACAACCTTAAATTCCAGCCTGAACACTTCGAGGATCTCACCGACACAGATTTCATCTTCCAACTTGAAAACGATGAAGAGATCGCTGCAGTGGTTGTCAGTTTTGATGGGCATATAAGGTGAAAAGATATTCAATTGATTGCCTAAAGAATTCAATCGATTGCCTAATCAATTCAATCGTTGCCTAATGATCTCCATCGATTGCCTAATCAATTCCAATCGTTTTTACAATCTAGACTTGAAAAATCAAAGATTTCGACAGCTTTAAACAGCAATTTTAGCAATTTTAGCAATCTTTGATCAAAAATTGCTAAAATTGCTGTTTAAAGCTGTCGAAATCGATCTGTGAATCGATCTACCTTTTAGTTACCCAAAAATCATGCGTGCTGCGAACTACCTTCGCGATTCGAGTGTCGATTTTTTCATCACAAACGAGGATACCACTTTCCCTGGCCCATGCGATGATGTCATTGTGCCTGGTGAAGGGATTTAAAAGGCAAATTTCTCAATGCAAACTTCAGGCACTGGTTGCATAGCGGCTGCAATTCGATCGGTCGTCGATCGAGAGCCACTCGTTTTCGGCAAACCGAACACACCGATTGCCGATTTTCTGAAAAGACATCATCACATTGACGCGACGAAAACGATCATGTTTGGGGATCGGTTTGTGGTTTTTGAAAAGCAATTGAGCAAAAGCAGTTGAGCAAAAGCTATTGAGCAAAGGCAATTGAGCAAAGGCAGTTGAGCAAAAGCAGTTGAGCAAAAGCAATTGAGCAAAAGCTATTGAGCAAAAGCTATTGAGCAAAAGCAATTGAGCCAATCATAAGCAACATCAGGGTTTTTCAAAGTCGATGACCAGTACCAGGTTCTAGCCTAGCTACAATCTTTCCCAAAGAGCTCTAGATCTCTAGAAGACCGAAGCCTTTGTTGTAGAGCTTGTTGTAGTCCGACAGAAGCTCAAAGCCTTTGCTGTAAGGCCTGCTCTTGGTTTCAGATCTGGTTTCAGACCTGGTTTCAGACCTGGCTTCAGACCTGGTTTCAGACCTGGCCTCTAGCTTTTAGATTTCCCTGGTTGAGCTTCACTGCAAGTATTACCCACAAAAAGCCTCTGAGTTTGCCAGAAGTCAGGCCTGGATCTAGCCGACCGGCTGGCTGGCTCCTTGGCTGCCTTCGATTATCGATTAGCTGCTTTTTGCTTTTTAAATCTAACCAGCTACGTTGTGCTGCGTCAACCATCTCGAGAAATTTACAAATTTCCTTATGAGAGTAATTCCATACTACAATGTGACATCCAGAATCCACTTTCCTATAAAAATTTCTTCGACTATCTGCTTCTCAGCGCTTAAATCTAGCCAGCTACGTTGTGCTGCTTTACCCACCTCAAAAAATTTACAAATTTCCATACGAAAGTAGTTCTATACTAAAGTGTGACATCCAGAATCCACTCTCCTATAAAAATTTCATCGATTAGCTGCTTCTTAGCAACTTAAATCTAAGCAGGTACCTTGCGCTACTTTAACCACCTTGAAAAGCTTACAAATTTCCATACGAAAACAATTCCATATTACAGGGTGACATCCAGCATCTACTTTCCATTTAAAATTTCATCGATTAGCTGCTTCTCAGCGCTTAAATCTAACCAGCTACCGTGCGCTAGTTTCCCATCTCAAAAAATTTACAAATTTCCGTACGAAAACAATTCCATATTACAGCATGACATCCAGAATCTACTTTTCTTTAAAAATTTCATCGATTAGCTGCTTCTCAGCGCTTAAATCTAACCAGCTACGTTGCGCTACGCTAACCACCTCGAAAAGTTACAAATTTCCATACGAAAGTAATTCCATACTACAGTGTGACATCCAGAATTCACTTTCCTATAAAAATTTCATCGACTAGCTGCTTCTCAGCGCTTAAATCTAACCAGCTACGTTGTGCTGCTCTAGCCACATCAAAAAATTTACAAATTTCCATACGAAAGTATTTCCATACTACAGTGTGACATCCATAACTAACTTTTATAGCTTTGGAAATTGACACCAGGATTGTAGGGAAAAGATAGAAGTAGCGTTCTTTCAAAGGATATCAAAAGCCGATGAAATCAATTTCTAGGCTCGACACGGATATTATGTTTGCGAATGGGAATGGTTTCACTTCGTGTTTGATGTTGACGGGGATTCATTCACTGGAAACAGTGAATAAAGCGAAATTGACCGGAAATCACTTGCAAATTCCTCATTTTCAATTCTCATTTTCCCCGTACGCTGGATTAACAAATGGATTTTAAGCGATTAGTAGCTGAAGGAAGTTTTAGATCGTTTTAGATCGTTTTAGACGTCGTTTATAACAGCCAAATGTTAGCCATTTGTTAGCCTGTACAAAGGATTGCTGTGTACTTTGTACTCGACATTTTAGCGCACTCAATTCTTCATTTTTCTTAGATTTTGTTGGGTCGATTTGCCGATTTGCAGATTTTTTGGGGAATTGATCTTAAACCTTTTTTGATTTAAACATTTCAGAGCTCATTGAAAAGCTTATTCTCTAGCGGATTAGATAAAAAAAGTCTTCAAAGACAATCTTCAAAGTTTAATAGATCAAAATTGATCTTCAAAGTTTAATAGATCAATCTTCAAAGTTTTTGCCTCCATTAAACCCATCAAATCCCAAATTTCAAAAAAAATCCATTTTTTTCGTTTTTTTGTACGGAAACCTAGGCTGAAACCATGTTTTTTCGGAATCAGTGCCGAAAATTACCCTAGAAAACGCAAAGCTCGTTGTTTTAGCAAAGATTTTTCAAAAAAATTTGCCGGAGTCGGAGTCGAACCCTCGACCCTCAGATCACTGCTTTCAGAGCTTCGAACCCTCGACCCTCAAAGCTCTGAAAGCGATGATCGGAGGGTCGAGGGTTCGACTCCGACTCCGGCAAATTTTTTTGAAAAATCTTTGCTAAAACAACGAGCTTTGCGTTTTCTAGGGTAATTTTTAACGCTGATTCCGAAAAACATAGTTTCAGCCTAGGTTTCCGTACAAAAAAAACGAAAAATTCGTTTTTTTTGAAATTTTCATTGATTTTCATTGATTTTCATTGATTTTCATTGATTTTCATTGATTTTCATTGATTTTCATGGATTTTCATTGATTTTTATTGATTTTCATTGATATTTCTATTGGTTTCTATTGATTTCTATTGATTTTCATTGAGTTTCGGTGATTTTTCATTGAAGTTTCATGGATTTTCATTGATTTTCATTGAATTCTATTGATTTCTATTGATTTCTATTGATTTTTATTGATTTTCATTGAGTTTCGGTGATTTTTATTCATTTTACATTTGATTACCTAGTCTTACCGGTTAGATTCACTTGTTAGATCACTTGTTTTAAACCAATTCTCCTACCACAAATAGACCTCATTTCAGTGCTCATTTTGTAGACTTTAAAGACTTAATCATTGATTTTTTTTTTGATGTAGGAATGAATGATTTACGAGAAACGTTCGAGCTGACAACAAATTTTCAGAGAAAACACGGATTTTTCAGAAGAAATTTCCAGATATTCAGTCAAAACTTTGTACTCGATGCTGTTTGTTGTTCAAATGTTTACCTAACGAATTCAGACTTTCCTGTGACCTCCAGGAAAGAGTTTGGTGAAGAGAGAAAGACGAACGGGTGAGTGGATCGGGAGGAAAGTGAGGCGACGGGGAATGCAGAGAAAAATGCTATTTTGAACGCGATCCGGCTTGCGTCGAGGGTCTCTTTCTGCATTTTGGCTCTCACCTGACTAATATACCTGTCCTTTTCGTTCCCTTTTCTGCTACATCACTTTCCATGAACACTCATTAGCCACTTTACTCTCTAGTTTACCAGGAACACTCATTATCCGTTATTGTTGATGCTGTTTTTGTTTTGAATCGATCTTTCAACTCAGCTTTGATAAGTTTAAGCTTCTTTAAGCTTCCTTAAGCTTTTTTAAGCTTCCTTAAGCCTTTTTTATAGTTTAAAGGCCAAAAAACATAGGATTTAATGTCAGTTCTTCAATTCAACACACTTTATTCACATACTGAGCCTGTCAAATGCTATGAAATCTATACCATTTAACGCAGAATTTAATGCTGATTCCGAATCTATATTTCGTTTTTCCTAAATGACAATCTGTCAGGAGTTAGAAGCGTTTAAAGTTTTCTTAAGCCATTTAGGTTCTAGCGATCTGAAAAAGTGGCCATTTAGGTCCTAGCGGCCTCTTAGAGGTTATTTAGGGGGACGGGATTCACTGCAGTCGTGGCCGAGTGGTAAAGCTGTCGTTTTCAGAGCTAGACCTCACGGGTTCGATCCGGACTTAGGCCTTCTTTTGCTTTGTTTGAGAGAAGTGGTTCACTGCAGTTGTGGTCGAGTGGTAAAGCTGTCGTTTTCAGAGCTAGACCTCACGGGTTCGATCCCGACTCAGGCTTTCTTTTGCTTTTTTCAGGAAATGATGACTAGTAGACATGTCCATTTTCGAGTTTTGGCGGCCTTTTTGGCCTTTTTGGCCGTTTTGGCGGGTCAAGCCAAAAATTTAAGCTTCTTTAAGCTTTCTATAAGCTTTTTTATAGTTTAAAGGCCAAAAAACATAGGATTTATTGTCAGTTCTTCAATTCAACTCAGATTTTTATGATGAACTTGATTGACATCTCTTTTTTCTCCTTTTATCCTGTTCAATCGAAAGCTCACTCTTTTCAGGTGATCAAGATCCATCCGCCCGTCACCCTTTCCCTTAATTCCATCAAATGGGTCGACGATACGGCGGGACACTCTCCGATGATTCGTATGGATCATATCTGACAACTGGTTTTCACGGGGAAAGACGATCGTTTGACAGGTTTGTTTAAAGTGAAGGGCCTATCTAATGAGCTATCTAATGAGCTATCTAATGATCTATCTAATGGTCTATCTAATGACCTATCTAATGATCTATCTAATGATCTATCTAATGACCCATTTAAGGACAAAGTTGCGTAAGTGAACCGGGCTGAAAAACAAAACCTTTCTAAAGTTAACTCTTTCATAGCTAATAGAAGTTGTGCGTTCCAGGATGGCTAGAAATACTTTCCGAATCAGAAAAGACAAGAGAAATTCAAAGGTTTAGCGCTAGAGAAGATTTTGAGTGAAATTCAAAAGACAAAGTATTCCAAAATGAACTCTTTCCTAGCCATTAGCCGTCGTGCATTCCAGGATGGTTAGAAATACTTTCCGAATCAGAAAAGACAAGAGAAATTCAAAGGTTTAGCGCTAGAGAAGATTTTGAGTGAAATTCAAAAGACAAAGTATTCCAAAATGAACTCTTTCCTAGCCATTAGCCGTCGTGCATTCCAGGATGGTTAGAAATACTTTCCGAATCAGAAAAGACAAGAGAAATTCAAAGGTTTAGCGCTAGAGAAGATTTTGAGTGAAATTCAAAAGACAAAGTATTCCAAAATGAACTCTTTCCTAGCCATTAGCCGTCGTGCATTCCAGGATGGTTAGAAATACTTTCCGAATCAGAAAAGACAAGAGAAATTCAAAGGTTTAGCGCTAGAGAAGATTTTGAGTGAAATTCAAACGATAAAGAATTCGAAAGTGAACTCTTTGATAGCTAATAGACGTTGTGCATTCCAGGATGGCTAGAAAAACTTTCCGAATCAGAAAAGACGAAAGAAATTCAAAGGTTTAGCGCTAGAGAAGTTTTTGAGTGAAATCCAAAGATAAAGAATTCTAAAATGAACTCTTAATGAAGTTAAAGTTAATTAAACCAAAATGAAGTTAATAGAGGTTGTGCGTTCTAAAACCCAGCTTTAACTACATTTTAAAAATACATCACTAGAAGCTGTGGTTACCACTTGTTAAACGCTTGTGCTTGTAAACGCAAACGCTCTGGTGCACTGTTTGGAGAATTCAGTGCACCAGATGATGTGCGTTTCGAAAAGAAAAAACCCTATTCAATTGGTTTATTTGCTTTTTTGTAGGTAACTTTTGAATTTTGAATTTTGAATTTCATCAGTCATTTCAGCACTTCGAGCGATGACTCTGAGAAATCCGGTGTCAAGCAGTGGGCTCGATATGGCATTTTCTTCAGTAATGTTGTTTTTATGGTTGGTTACAGGAAAACTCTAAACATTTTCTTTCATTTAAATCCCCATGAACTCTTTAAGCATCTTAAATTTGCATTTAAATGGAGCTGAGGTTAATGGTGGGCCAAAATGGGGCCAAAATTACCGTTACATATAAATAGCTTTTACACAGGCGTCCAAACGTCGATCGTCCAAGCGTCGATCGTGGCGAGAAGGTAGATCCAAGGTATAGGAGGTATAGGAGGTCCCTTCCCAAGCTTCCAGCTCTTCCCAAGCCTTTTCAGCTCTTCCCAAGCCTTTCCAGCTCTTCCCAAGCCTTTCCAGCTCCCAAGCCTTTTCAGCTCTTCCCAAGCCTTTTCAGCTCTTCCCAAGCCTTTCCAGCTCCCAAGCCTTTTCAGCTCCCAAGCCTTTTCAGCTCTTCCCAAGCCTTTTCAGCTCTTCCGAAGCCTTTTCAGCTCTTCCCAAGCCTTTTCAGCTCCCAAGCCTTTTCAGCTCCCAAGCCTTTTCAGCTCCCAAGCCTTTTCAGCTCTTCCCAAGCCTTTTCAGCTCTTCCGAAGCCTTTTCAGCTCTTCCCAAGCCTTTTCAGCTCCCAAGCCTTTTCAGCTCCCAAGCCTTTTCAGCTCCCAAGCCTTTTCAGCTCTTCCCAAGCCTTTTCAGCTCTTCCGAAGCCTTTTCAGCTCTTCCCAAGCCTTTTCAGCTCCCAAGCCTTTTCAGCTCCCAAGCCTTTCCAGCTCCCAAGCCTCGAGCGCTTTTTTCAAACTATCAACAGTTTTGTGTGGTTGATAGCGTCAACTGGTAGCATTTGTGATTTATTTTTCTTGTAGGCCTTTAACTTGAGCTTGTTTTTGATGATTAAGGGATGTTCGCTTAATCCCCATTTTTTATGACATTTTCCGCACCGATTTGTTTGGCGTTTTCAACAGGCGATTCCTCACTTTTTTGACATTTGCTGAAGTTGTTAGTTCGTTGTTCGTTCGCTGTTCGTTCGTTGTTCGTTCGTTGTTCGCTTTCTTCCATTTCTCTTTCTTCCATTCCGCTTTCTTCCATTTCACTTTCGCATTTGCGCGTGAGTGAGCATTGAAAAGATAATTTTGGCCCACCCTGTACTTGGCTGAATGCAACAAGAGAATCGAGCGGATTGAAAGTGATAAAAGATTCGAATTTAGATTTTGATAACGTTAGAATTTAGGATTATAGCTTTATATGTTTATAGGTTTAAAGCTTTATAGCTTTATAGCTTTATAGGTTTATAGGATTATAGGTTTATAGGTTTATAGGATTATAGGATTATAGGATTATAGGTTTATAGGTTTATAGCTTTATAGCTTTATAGGTTTATAGGATTATAGGTTTATAGGTTTATAGGTTTATAGCTTTATAGGTTTATAGGTTTATAGCTTTATAGGTTTATAGGATTATAGGTTTATAGGTTTATAGGTTTATAGCTTTATAGGTTTATAGGTTTATAGCTTTATAGGTTTATAGGATTATAGGTTTATAGGTTTATCGGATTATAGGTTTATAGGTTTATAGCTTTATAGGTTTATAGGTTTATAGGTTTAAAGCTTTATAGGTTTATAGGATTCTATAGGATTCTAATAGGCTTCTAGTTCTATTTCAAGTTAATAAGTTATTTTAGGTGGTTGGCACGGTGATCATGGTGATGGGAGCGTGGCTTCGAATCGACAGCCGTTTCCGCGACTTTTTAAGTGAACGGTGTGACTTTTTGACAATAAACACCCATCAAAAATGATCCACTTTTTAGAAAACGAGAAATTAAACCATAAACCAATAAACCAACTTTCGCGTAGACTTATTCATTTCATTCATCTTTCATTTTCAGATATCGTCGCGTTGTTCAAGAGGCTTTTTGGGAGGCTCCAACCCTCTACATGTTCTCCTATATTTTGATCATTTTAGGAGCTTTCATGTTTGTCGTTGCGATTATGGGTGAGTTTGGGGATTGCTGTAAATTCTAACTATCGCTTGAAAGTATTTGAACTATGAACTAAGTGGAAAACAATTTACAGGCTGTTGTGGAGCGAATGTTGACGCAAAACCGTTTCTCGTCGTCTACACGGTCTTTGTTTTTCTCCTCTTAATCGCCACTCTCTCCTCTGGAATCTATATTTTGTATAAGAGAGATGGGGTGAGTATCTACTAGATATAAAGGGGTGTTTGTCTGTATGTCTGTCTGTCTATCTCTCTGTCTGTCTGTCTGTCTATCTCTCTGTATGTCTATCTGTCTGTCTGTCTGTCTGTCTGTCTGTCTGTCTATCTCTCTGTCTGTCTGTCTATCTGTCTGTCTATCTGTCTGTCTATCTGTCTGTCTATCTGTCTATCTGTCTGTCTGTCTATCTGTCTGTCTGTCTATCTGTCTGTCTATCTCTCTGTCTGTCTATCTGTATGTCTGTCTATCTGTCTGTCTCTACAGACATCGTGCTACAGACACAGTCCTAACGTAACGCCATTTCTCTTGTAGTGTTACCGTAATGCCAGAGCAGACGATACATTGTACTTTAAGGTCACTTTCAGTACTTTAAGATTCAGAAAATTCATTTGAAAAGATGCCTCACCGTAATCCCGTTGATTTTTCGATTTTAAGCTATTAGTTTCCATTACCGTACCCTTTGTGTCTGTTTGTTTGTCTCTACAGACATTTTCATAGCTTTGTTTTAACCAATAAAGCTAAAACATCGTTAGAAACTCTAGAATACATTGTAGTTATGGTATTTATAAGTGAAAATGAAAAAGTCAAAAGTAAAAGTCACTACGGGGGCTCGAACCCGAACCGTATGGGCTCCAGACCACCACGCTGCCGACTGCACCACGGAGACCGAAAAACGCCTCGAGAAAGACCCACTCTTAACCGGGGCTTTCAGTTGATAAGTAATTAAAAAAGCAGCTAAATGTGAAGAAGCCCGGTTAAGAGTGGCTTTTTCTGGCTAGGCTTTCATTGCCTCCATGGCGCAGTCGGCAGTGTGCTGGCCTCAAAGCCCACACGGTCCGGGTTCGAATCCCGGCTCTGGCCTGACTTTTGCTTTTTGAGCTTTGCTTTGTATGGTAAATGTCTGTCTGTCATTACTGTACTGGAGCTGTAAAACACACGAACATTTCAGATCGATGTCGAGGTAGAAGACGCGCTGAACTACATGGTCCAACACTACTATCAAGGAGCGGGAATCGTGCAAGAAAGCCTCGATCATCTACAACAGACATTCAGATGTTGTGGTGAGTCAAATTTGATGACTTTTAGGGGAAAAAAGATCCTTCCAGTAGTCCCAATATGTACGGTGACCCTTTAGGCAACGCTGGATGCTCAGATTTCCGCGCTTTCCGTCAGGATCCACCGCGAACCTGCGACATTCGTTGTGATGGATGTCATATCCGGTAGGAGAAGTGTTTTCTTCAAATTATTCAAATATTTCCAGAATCTGGAACGCATTGATCATCGGCTTTGGTGCAGCGTGCGTTGTTTTCTTCTTTGTGCTCATTTGTGAAGTGAGTTGTCGGCTGTGAGTACTGTAGAAAGGCTACTGTAACCCCTACTACCCTTTGGCTTTCCTACTGTACTTCAGTTGAGCGTTTAAAGGCTTTCTGTAGTCAAATTTCAAAGTACACGTTATTTTATAAGTTACAATTCTTGTATTACAGGCTCTATCCATTGTACTCGCTATGTATTTGATACTTCGCCCGGAAACCCGGATCCAAGTCACGTATTATAAAACGAGACGATACGAAGCACCACCATCGTTGACAAGGTAAGAAATAAATACGCTAGAAGACAAGTTAAGAAATAAGTACGCGTTTACACAAAATTTAAGCACAGAACACTCTCAATCACATTAAGAGCTTGTTTCACTTGTCCAGCAGTGACATTAGTAGCTGAGAATCAAGCCAAAGTCTAAGCTGGCATGCACAGCACTAATTGGGTAATTGAACCAGGGTCCCCACTAACTATAAGGGATTTATACTTGTGGTCACTAACTACAAGAGCTTGTTTCACTTGTCCAGGAGCAAGATTAGTAGCTGAAAATCAAGCCAAAGTCTAAGCTGGCACGCACAGCACTAATTGGGTAATTGAACCAGGGTCCCCACTAACTATAAATGATTTGATACTTGTAGTCACTAACTACAAGAGCTTGTTTCACTTGTCCAGGAGCAAGATTAGTAGCTGAAAATCAAGCCAAAGTCTAAGCTGGCATGCACAGCACTAGTTAGATACTGAACCAGGTCGCTCACTAAGTGATTTGAAATTACCTAATAATTACCTATACAGCTCAATTACCCAACTTGATCCAGTTAAATCAAAAACAAACTTTCCAGAGAGAATCTCAAGAAGCACGATCTACCGCATGCGCTGCGACGATTGCAATGAAATGTAAATGTTGTATGGAAATTCTTTTGCTTCTCAATTGAATAGCTTTATTGTAAATCTAGTCTAATCGATCTTGCTGCAATTTTCATTATTTTAAAAAACTAGTCTCAAATTTGTTAAGAAAAACTATAAAAAAGCAATTTTAAGCTGGAAGCTTTGAGTTTTAAGCTTTAGGCTTTAAGGTTTAAGCTTTAAGGATTAAGCTTTAAGGTTTAAGGTTTAAGCTTTAGCTTTAAGGTTTAAGCTTTAGCTTTAAGGTTTAAGCTTTAGCTTTAAGGTTTAAGCTCTAGGCTTTAAGCTTTAGGCTTTAAATTCTTTTGCTTAGCTTAAACTTTAAGCTTTAAAGTTAAAAGCGTAAAAATCCGCGCAAAGATCAGTGCGTTTGCCCGAATTTTCTCAAAAAGAATCTCTTTTTTCGTAATTCTGTGCATTTTCGTAAAACCGTACGAATTTCATAATCTAATCAATTATTACTCAGTGATTTCCCTTGGTTGTATGCTTGTTTTTGGCTCTTTTCGCTCTTTTTCCTTTTTTTCGATGTGTCATCGTCACTTTTTCTCGCATTTTCTCGAATTTTCCCGAAATTTTTCAAACTTCTCAATCCATTTCACTTTTCTCATAGTCAATCAGGGCCCATTTCACGCATGTGATCTTAATTTTTGTGATTTTCTTTATGAAAACTTTCATATCTCACTTAAAAATGATCATTTCAGTCTTTCAAAGAATAAAAGTTCATAAAAACAAAAAAAAAAATTGATTTTTACCGTTTACTGTTTTCTAAACAGTGAAAATTTCTATTTGTCGTGGTTACGGTAACGATTTGACGGATTCGGCGGTGGGACAAATTCTACCTTTTTTTTTGCGCACCCGGCCAAAAGCGCACCTTTTTGTTTCGCTGGAAAAGGCCTTAGGAAAGGCCGTAGAGCATCAAAAATGTGCATGTGAGGGAATCGTATGCGTAGATTCCGAATTTCTTCAAATCAAACCTCGCTGGCACGTCAAATCTGGGCTAAAAGACAAAAACTACACAACTTAACCCTTTTCCGCAGTTTTTGCCTTTTAGCGTTAAGTTGTGTAGTTTTTGCCTTTTAGCCAAAATTTGACGTGCCAGCGAGATTTGATTTGTCGAAATTCGGAATCTACGCATATGATTCCCTGATATGGAAACATTTTTGATGCTCTACGGCCTTTCCTTGCTCTACGGCTCTACGGCCTTAGTTTAGGTTCAAGTCTTCTAAGCCGGCCAACCTTTATGATTTTGGTTTCATTTTGTAGATCTAAATAAGTGCAACAAAATGAAACTAAAATCATAAAGATTGGCCCACTTAGAAAAAAAGTTATGACGAGTTGCGCAAATAACCCTGTTGCGCAAAAAAAATTGCGGAAACCAGCCTACCCCAGCTTTTCACATCATAACGAATCTCTATCGTGTGAAAAAGACGTTTTGGCTAAAACACGCTTGAACATCAAGCTTTTAAGCTTTTAAAAACATTTGCAAAGCTTTTTTTGTTCAAAGCGCTCAAGAATTTCTTAAAAACAGCTCAATTGTTAAAGTTTTTCTAGAAATTTAAGCTTTTTAGGCAATGCTGGAGCCTTTTTATGCTAAAAAGCAGAAAATTTCGTTAGAAACTAAGCGAATTCATGCCGTTATAGAGCTTTTCTGACCGTTTACCACTTCTTTTGGGAATGGGACAAATGCTAGCTTTTTTTTGCGCACTCGGCCCATTAGCGCACCTTTTTTCGCGTTTAAAAAAAGCTCTAACAAGGTAATATTGATCAATTTCGTTCCAAAAGTTGTTTTTTGGGTAATTTTAAGGCATAGAATCGAAATTTTTGACATACTAGAGCTTTTCTTTTTTTCTAGAGCTTGTGGAACCAACTTGAAAGATAAAACGTGTAGGTGAAGGAAATTGTTGATTTTTCTCTTTGTATAACTTTGTCCGTTTACTTCCACAAGCTCTGATATGTCAAAATTTGGATTCTACACCCTAAAATTACCCAGAAAAACAACTTTTCGAATAGAAATTGGTTAATACAGCTTGTTAGAGCTTTTATAAAAGCGAAAAAAGGTGCGCTAATGGGCTGAGTGCGCAAAAAAAGCTTGCATTTGTCCCATTGCCTATTATTTTTCATTTTTTTGTTCGAAGCGTGTCTATTGCTCATTTTTCCACCTTTTTAAGTCAATTTCGGTTCACTTTCAAGCAAATTCAAGAGTGAAAACATGTTTTTCGTAAAAATCTATAAAAGCCTCCATGAAGAAATTGGCTGAATCAATTTTTCTGAAAATTTGGCTAGATTTATTGAAAACAGCTCAATTGTTAAAGTTTTTCTAGAAATTTAAGCTTTTTAGGCAAAGCAAAGCCTTTTTATGCTAAAAAGCAGAGATTTCGTTAGAAACTAAGCGAATTCATGCCGTTATAGAGCTTTTCTGACCGTTTACCACTTCTTTTACAAGTTTTCTCGTTTCTGTCTCATATTTTATTGCTATTTTTGCACGACTAGCTAATTTTCTTTATTTTAGACGATGTCCGGCGGATCCGGTGAAGAAAGAAGAACGATTTTCCCCATTCCGACTCGTCCCTCATCACTTCCATCAACGTCGTTTCAACCGAATCTTTTGAGACAGGTAGATAGATTGAAAAGATTGGTATTTTCGTGGTTGAGAGGGGCGACTTTTATTCTCGCTTAATTGGATCTAATGTTAATGATCTATTTTTGTTCTGGCGTTGGATCTAATGTTTTGAGTGGCTGTATTGATACCTTTTATCTATTTTAGGGTAATCAAATAAATCAAATATGCTAAAATAGTCGCCAATCAAATAATTGGTGACTATTTTAGCAAGTTTTTTGCAATTCTAGCCTAATCATATGTACTTTAACCACAAAACGCTATCTCAAAGCTGTTGCAGCTGAAAATCAAATAAAAACCGCAATATAAAACATGTTGTAAATACTCTAAAGTATAATCATATTTGTTTACCCTAGAATAGGCAGATAGAAGGTATCAATACAACCATTCAAAACATTAGATCCAAAGCCAGAATAAAAATAGCCCCTCCTAACCATCAAAATTAAAGATTTAAAGGGAAAATGGGGCTATTATGGATGGGCAAAAGATTTTTTTTTCGCTAAATGAGCTGATTTTTTTTGCATCCACGGGGTTTTTGACTATGCTGAATCGATTGGTGATGCTTTCACACAACATTTCGCAACTTTTAACAACGTTTATAATAAATAGTAATAAAAATAACAACAAAATGTCAACAACAACAACAAGTTACCAACGAGGACATGACTGAAGACAACGGGTACTTTTTGGCCACTTCTTCCCAGAATAAGTACATTAGGATTTTTGCTAACAGTATTGTGTTGCTTGCAATTTTTTTAAAGTTGCGAAATGTTTTGTGAAACAATCACCAATCGATTCAGCATAGTGAAAAACCCCTGGGTCCAAGAAATCAGCTCATTTAGCAAAAAACCCTTGCCGCCCCCCCCCCAACTATTATAGCACCGGGAAAACAAGAAATGATGTAGAAGCTGGAACCACGTAACATAGGTATACGTAAAAGTTGTCGTGTGCTTTGACTGGCTGTTAAATTTCAGATTAAACGTACTTCAGTAATATAATGTTTGAACTCGAAGGGTTTTATTTCTTTAAATGTTCTTTAACCGCTAACTGAACAAGTGTATTTAGAACAAACAGGAAAATTGATAAGCAGAATCGGCGAAAAAATGAATCATATTAGTGAATCGCAAAATGACCCCCTCCCTTGTGATTCCCAACCCCTTGCATCATAACAAACACTGATAACGGGGCGTTTACGCAAGGAAAACGCGCTCTTTCGCTCATTTATTAGGATTTTGGGTAAAATTTAACCATTTCACTTAAAAGTTGTATTGTTTTAGTTCTCGGAAGCGTTTCGGAGTGTCTCGGTCGAATCGCCGCTGATCAGCGCACCGGCAATCATGCAAAGAAGGGTAAATTTTAGCAATTTTGGCGAAGTTTGTCGGAAATTGCTGCTTTTCAATAGTTTTTCCCGCAGAATTTTGTACAATCGGCTGAGATTTTGAAGTAAAAAATGATAAAATCAACTTGATTTGCTTTGAAAAGTTTAGCTTAGTTTAGTTTAGCTTAATCCTTAAATTGTGTTAACCGGCTGAAAATTTTTATTAAGAGCTGTAAAATATAAGCTATAAATGATAAAGTTTTCTGGAAGGGCTTTAAAATTCTGTACATTTCGTTAATTCAGATTTCGAATAATTGTTTCCCTTTTCCAGGCGCCAACGAACTTTACGGCGATCAATATGGAAGAAATAAATGCAAACAATGAAGCGACGGTTCTGAATGGTAAGCCTTTTGTTTTACGTAACAATTTTCTGGGTTTGTTATACAAAAGTTTTCAATCAAAACGTGTTTAACAAATAGTTGCTTAGCAGAATCGCAGCACAATTCATTATTCTTCTTCAAAAGCTTAGTTAGATGACATTATTGGGTAATTTAACAAACTACTATAAACTTGTGCTTTAGTGACGACACCGATACAAACTGAGAGCGAAGAATCGAGCGGGGCGCAACCAACGATCGTCACAGAAGGGAACAATGATACGTCACAGGATTCAGTCGATGAAGTATGTTTAAGAGAAGTTGAAGGACATGTAGGCCTAACCTTGGCGCATGGATTTGACTATACGCTAATGATTCTAACGAGAAGAATTGGTGTAGTCTGTCAGTCTACATTCAGTGAACAGTCTGTCAGCCTTTGGAATAAAGACATTGGTCCTTTGAAAACAAGAGCTAAAGATGCGTAAAAAAAATAACAAAGCTAACAAATCATTATATTATCATTTTCAGGAGGTTCAAAATTTGCGCACGCAATACGCCAGATTGAGGGATCACTTTCAAAACAATCGAGAGGCACAATCGGTAACTTTTGGCTGTTTTACGAAAAACGCGATGAACTTTTAGGCTTTGAAGATATCGTTGTCGTTTCTGCCGTTTTTCCTCATCTTCCTCATCAAAATGGTCTACGAGAATTTCGACACGATAAATTATTTACTACTTGGGTGAGTTTTAATGATTCGGATACAAAGTATAGATTTATTAAAAGAAAATTATGAAAATTTAATTATTATTATTATTAATTAAATCAAAGATTCATTTGATATTTATTCTAATAGAAGCAAAAACTATGGATATTCAGCTTAGTAGACCGAATACTTTTAGTTTTGAGCCTTTAAAGGTATATAGAGCTATAGAGGCATTTCCTGGAGAAAAATAGCATTCTTTATCATTTGTTTTGCGTAAGCAGCGGCAATTTTGATAAGTTTTTCTTGCAATTAGGTAAGCAGCCTATTTGGATCGAATTTATAACTTAGACTACCGTAAATACTGTAATAGTACCCCAGCCCCATAATGACGGTGAGCAGTGTTGCGTAGTCTAGCTTTGAACGAACGAGTTTTTCTCGACACTGGTTTATGCTACAATGCGCGCTTAGTTATCAAAATAGCCCTGAATTTCAGCTATTTTTGATACCAAAGACGCATTTTCTGAAAGTACGGGCACTTTGAAAAAAATGAAATACTAAAAAAACTTTTGCGACTACGCGACTGTACGAGGGGGGTGGGGTACTATTACAGTATTTACGGTAGGCATTCCGTCGAGCGTTGATGATTTATGTCATAAAATTCTCACAACTTTAAACATTTTGACGTTTTATATTTTAGTATTCAATCCTTTAGCAAAGAATCTTTCTTAGATTATTATTATCATTATTGCTTAATCTGTAGCTTTTCTTGAATTGACTATAATAGTGAAATCTCAATTGAAGTCGGCGAATCTAACGGTGATGAAATCGAGAATAAGGCTTTTTTGACGATTGAATTGCTTTTAATTGGTTGTTACTTAAAGGTTTTCTTTCTACGAACTACTTCATCAATTTTTTTTAGTCATTGAAAAATAGAAGCGCAGCCTTCAATAAAAGCTATTTGTGGAATGATTAAAAAAGAAGCGCATGGGCTTCTATTAGAATAAAGACTGTATACTGAAATTTTTGGTTCTGAAACAAAATTCTTAAACGTTTTTAACTTTAGAATTACTTTCTTCATCGCTTTGGATCAACGTCTACAAGCAGTTCTCTCAAAGACGAACACGCGAGTGGCTGTTTTCTTCTTCGCTTTGACGTTGACGCTCAACATCCTCCTACTCATTCACTATCCGGATTCCGGGGCTATCTTAAGTGAGTTATCTAAAAAACGAGCAAATTAATAGCTAATTTTAGACGGCGTAACGTTTCAATTGCACAAACTTGCATATACGGGTGTCGGACGCACGCTTACGCTCATCATTCTCACCGATATCTTCTGCAAAACGATTGTGGTTGGGATTAAAGGAGTGGTAAGTTTTTGAAATCCTTCCATTGCAAGAACCAGTCAGTTATAAACGTTTGGCCTACATTTAATAACGCGTAAAGATAAATCTTATATTTTGAAATTATTAATTAGTTATATTTAGTTGGCGTTAATTCCGGAGACGTGGGTTGGACTGAAGAGGAAACGACGCTTTTTCCAATCGATCGAGTACTCTTCACAACTACACCGAGCCATTTTGCCGACTCCGAGGTAAATATTTGACGAAAGTTTAATCTTCAAATACTAATTAATCATTTAGATGGTCGATCTACTTTATTGGTCCAGCGGGTTATGCGGGAATGCACTACTTGGACCTCTTCTTGCTCATTTTTTATTGGATAGCTAAGGTGATTTTTAAGCAAATTTTCTTACTGTCTCGTGTTTAGGTTCGAGAAATCAGGAGCTATGTGCCCGACTGGTACACATCGGTGAAGACGGTGATGAGGAATTCGATGTACGGAGTGAAGCCAAGCCAAGAAGAGATCCGCGCCGTCGAGTCACAATGCTCAATATGTTACTCGGATTTGAAGACACCATTGAAGGTAGATTTTAGCTATTTTTAAATATAAAACATAGTTTTTATAGTATCACAAAATTTCTCATGATCCATTTTTACATTTGTTGAGCTAAACCATAAGCTAGATTGATAGAAAATAGTGGATGAAATGAATAAAATTTTCTCTTTTAGTTAGTATGTGCTCACATCTTCTGCGAGGAATGCGTCGATACATGGCTAGAAGAGAAGCATACTTGCCCCCTATGTCGCGCCACAATCGACAAAGAGGACAAATCATGGAAATCGGGAGCCACGAGTAAATTCGTTCGAATCTATTAAAGATGTTTGCTTTTTCATTTTTGTTAGGGTATACTCATTCTAGTTTGAGATTTCATCGTTACAATTTATTGAAGTTAACACAATTTCTCGAAATCTCTTTTCCTAGTTGAATTTTGATGGCGTTTCTGATATGATATGGGTGTAAATCTCGTACAGCTAATAAAATTCCTTTTAAAAGTTCTGATTCGATTGTTTCCCCGTTTTTCCACAAATGTCTGTGATTTTCCGTCAATCGTGTAACAAAGTTAAGATCATTTTTCCTTTTGAAAGTGTTTACTAGGTATTTTATTCATGTCTTTGTGTTAATTTGTTTCTAGTTCCTTGCCTTATATTTTCTCTCTTTGCTCTACGCGGTTTAGTTTTTGAAGCTAGGAAAATAAAAGTTCACAATTTAGCATAAATTTTTCGGGCCTGGTGTCGTTGACGATTTTAAACCAATACATGACAAGGAAACGCGTAAAGGGGGAAGATGATGCATTTTTTTACTGTAACGAGTGCTTTTTGTTTTTGATACTCGAAAGTTTTGTGAGTATGAAATTCTCTTTGAGAAACTTGTATGTGAAACGCCGCAAATTTAATTTTCGATAGGGAATCAAGCATTAACTAAGTATTTTAACATGTGAACACAAGTGCTTTTCGTTGAAAGGTTCAAAATTTGGCAGTCTTGAAAACTCACAAATTGGCGAATGTATTTTGGAAAGTTTAGCCAATTTTATCGTGGAATGACTTTGTTTTGATGCGAGAAGAACGTTGATTAAGACTTTGCCATGTATTTTGGCTCTTTTTAAAATCGTTTTCATCTTCACGCATTGAATAATTGTTGATTTTCAGGTGCAAGAAGCGCCAATGCCGTTCAAAATGAGGAAGTTGAAGACGTTTCTAATGGAGAAACTTTGCTACGATCTGAAGCTGGAAGTTATCGAGCAGTTGGATCCGAACGATGTGGCGGAGTTTATCAAGACGAATAACGAGTTTCGATCGATTCTTCTGAGGGAACCGTGGAGGCTTTTAGGAAAAGAAGTCTACTCGATCAAGATCAAACCGAATTTTTAAATGCTTGGCAGAAAAACCCATGACTCAGCCCCAACTTGCTTTGATCTTCGCACAGAAAAGGCGGTTTTCCTGGAGAGCATTCGAACTTTAGGTATCATCATTTCACGGACGAGGAAGTGAAAGTGATCACGAAAGCTCTCGCGAGCATCAAAGAAGTAAATGAAATTCGTCTATTTCTCGAACACTATCAAGGCTTTGAGGAAATTCTTTTAAATTTCAATCCAACATACCTGGATGGCGTTTATTTGGATTTCACGGAGCTTAATCTCTCCTTTTTGTCAACATACTCTGGTTCGCAACTTTAAAACATGATAGAATGCGTGATTCAGGGAGCTGGCTACCGATTTCAAAACTTCTACGAGAAATTGTCAATGCTTGGAGCCAAAATGATTTTCAGTGAAGTCGATTACAACTACGACCAGATGTCTTTTGATGAGTTGGTTCTTTTGGGTGTCACTAAAGGAATTCCGAGCAAAAGCCCTGATGTTTTCTTCATGTTTCAGGCCAAAAATCTCACTTCGACACGGACAATTTCACCAGTATTTCACGGAACAAGTTATGGTGCAAATCAGTCGCGAGGAAAAGACGAAAGTTTGGAGAAACGCGAATGAAATGTCGAAGAAATATTATTTGACGAGAAAGCAATCGATTCGGAAACGAATGACTTTCAAGCAGCAAATCGACGAGGAACGCGAGTGTTTCTGTGTGCTCGATGCCTTTGAAATGAACCGACTCATTGGTGCACATTTTCATACAATTGCTAATCTTGTTATTTGTCAACTAATAAATGATTCTTGGTTTCTTTTGAAATGATTTGCGATTTGTAAAGACTTTGCCATACCTCGGGAAATTTTTGTGTGTTTAAAGTCAGTGTTTTATTTGCGAAGAACATTTGCAACTAGATTATGGTATCAGACGACAAAAAGAAGGGTACTTTAGGGGTTGGGAGGGGCCACTTTTATCCTCGCTTAGTTGGACCTAAGGTTTTGATTGGTTGTATTGATACCATTTATCGACCCATTCTAGGATAATCAAATATGGTTATACAGCATTTATAACATGTTTCGAGTTTCAGGCTAATACAACTTGCTAAAATAGTCACCAATCTATTCAGCATATTAACTTCTTTTTGTCTTTCACCAACATAATTGATTTAATTTCTTTTCTTTCAGGTAGAATGGCGAACTTCGCAAATTTCCCGATGAAGAAACTCTGCTACGATCTCGTTTTGGAAGTAATCGATGAATTGGACCCAACAGATGTGCCAGAATTGATGAAAGTTGACAGAAGATTTCGATGGATTCTTTTGCAGAAACCAGCACGGATTTTTGGAAAACAAATCCATTCTATTGACATTTCATTTGACATGATAAAAGGAGAAAATTGGGATGATCTAACCTCAATCATTCAAGTCACGAAATTCCCGGAATCAACTCCTCTCTATTCAGATGTTCTTCTCTTGGCACAAGTTGAACGATGTTCATCTTTGAACATTTCACATGCTGGAGTTTATGACATTAATGAGAAGCAACTTTTGGCAGTCAAGAAGATCTTCGCCAATTTGAAACAAGTCGATGAGTTGGATGTGTGGGTCCTTGATGGAAAGAATTTCAGCGATTGTTTGAAGAATTTAAAAGCTGAAGTCACCGATCGAGCATCATTGAAGGTTTACCCTTGGAACGACGAAGTAGAACAAGAGCTTTTGTTGTCTTTGATCGGTGGAAGACTTCGAAATTGCAGAAGGATCTTATTATATGTTACTGATCTATATCCAACAGTTTATTCGGCACTTTCGAAGACTCAACTCGAGTTATTTGTGCCTGGGGTTCCTTTAGAAAGTGTCAAATCGACAATTGAGTTGATTCTGAATTCTGGAATTCCGGGTGAAAATAAAGAAGCCGCTTGTTGCTTGCATTGGCTGGAGAGAGTTGAAATAAACAATTGGATCAAGAACTTGCCCAAAATTCGTCATGTCAACGAACGAAACAAGTCTTTCATCAGGGATACAATGATGGAAACGCTGAGAAAACACAGGATGTTTTCTTATTCTCTTGATAATCCAATTCATTGTTATTGGAAAAGAATCGACGAGAATCGTGACTGTATTTATGCTGTGAACGATGAATTTTTTTTCGCCAAATTTGTTTCATCGATTCAATGAAAGTTTATCTAACCTTATTTGTTGATTCACTTTCTCTAATATTCACTTTGCATTCAGTATTCACTTTGTTTTTTTATTACCGTTACAGTATTACTGTTATGACAACACTTGCCTCTTTAGTCCAAATAATAAATTTTGCAGAAGTGGTCAATGAATTTTGAGAGGGTTGAAGATTTCGAACGGTACTTTTATGTTTGCGTTGAGATTTGTATTGACAATATCAATAGAGTAAATGATATTTGTTAATGCATTATCTATGTTCGTTTTGGTCGAACTAATCTTTCAATTTTCAGATAGAATGGCAGAACTCTCATTCTCAGTGCCGAATCTTTGCAACTTCCCGATGGAAAAGCTCTGCGACAATTTGAAACTGGAAATCCTGGAACAGATGGATCCAAAGGACATCATTGAATTGATGAAGAACAACAAGAAATTCCGCGCGATTCTCATCAATCGGCCATAGATGATTTTTGGAGAACACGTACATTCGATCATTTTCCGCTGAATGCACATTGTCTAGATCAAGAAACACCCAAGCTCTTCGATTTTCACCGATCTTCGTTGCCAATCAGTTCTCTTGAAGAGGATCACAAGCTACATCCACCTTGGGATTATCCGAACGGACGGCTGGACCTAGAGTAATACCGAAAAAGAGACAGCATTGGAAGTTCTCAGAAAGTTGGGTTCTCTTGGGGAAATCAAAACGATGTTAACCTATCCAGCGATGCGCGAGCATTTTGCAATTTTCAAAGGAAAGGTGACCGAGCGAATCTTTTTGGATCTCACTTGGTACATGTGGAATATGGACAATGAAAATGGCCGCTATCTGACGAATCAGACGAAAGCAGACGAAAAGGCAGCTTGACAATTTCAAGGAGATATCGATGAACGGACGTGGAAGCCAGTTCTACTTCCTTCGAAATCAAGGTCCTGGATCCTGCAATCTCCCTCACATTCACGTCAAGCAACCCGCTCGATAATTTCCTCACTGCAGGGCCCGGACTTTAACGGATTGGAGAGTTGAGCTCATTCGGGGAAATTCTACAATTTATGGAAGAAATGTGCAAAAAGTACCCGATCCCAGACTATCAAAATATGTTCGTGCAGTCTCTCGACTTCTACAAGCAGAAGATAGATGATGAACGCGATTTTATCTACATCGTTTCGACGTTGAATATTAAATATATCGGTCGGGAGTTTTCTGCACCTCTGCAATTCTTTGCCAAATACGTGGTTGTTCAACAGCAGCCAAAAAGGAAGGAATGAGGAAATTACTGACCTAGTGATTCTCATCAATCGACCATGGATGATTTTTGGAGAACACGTACATTCGATCATCTTTCGACCGATCTACATTGTGGAAATCAAGAAACATCCGGAAAAGTCTTCGGTTTTTCTTGATCTTCGCTCTGGAACTGCTATTTTGAACAGAATTCAAAGCCTTGCGGTCTTCAACTTGATTGACGCAACTAATTATGTTCGCAATGAGTTCGAAAAAGAAATCCCATTGAAATTGTTGGCAAAGCTGAATACAATTGGAGAAGTCAAACGCCTGGACGATTATGATAGTTTGCGTGAATGCTTCTCAATCTTCACTGAGCGAATCTTTTTGAATCTCAGCAGGTACACTTGGAATGAAGAAGACGAAAAACATCGTTTCATCACAAATCTCTTCCAAAATCAGCTGGGCAATTGCAAGGAAATCTCGGTTAATGGAATTGCAAGTCAGTTTTTCTTGATGACGAATGTTGAGGTGATTGCATTCAACATTGAGGAAGAACCGAACTACCTAATGGCAGCAGATCTCGTGGCCGGAACAATGGCCACAAAGTGGAATACCGAGTCAAAATCGATATCCAGGAATCTTTGTTACATGCACTGGTAGAAATCGATTCTTTACTCCGTTTAAGGATGCACCAACTTCAAAAAGTACGGATTGCTGGTGCGATGATGCTCTGAAATGTATGAGCGAAACTTTGCAAAGGTATTCGATTGTGAAGGGTATTGGTACGAATACATGCAGTCGTGAATTGTATAAGACAAGGGTGAACGATGAACCGGATTGCATCTACATTGTTTCAAGAGATTCTAACGGCCCTTTCTTGCACTTCTTTGCTAAATACGTTCCCGCTCAACCAGAAAATTGCTGCCAATTACTCGTTTGACTAAACGCCATCATATGGGGAGCATAAACCCCAAAAGTTTAGAGGAAACGCTTGGTAAATTTGTTGTTTTTCTTGTTATTTTCGAGTTTTTATGTTGTACATAAATTGTTTCTTTGGAAATTTTCATTTCATCGGCTGAAGATCTTTGAATTCTTTGAATTCTTTGAATTTCTCGACAACAATCCTGATAAATGATCATTGTTTAGGTGGTTTTAGGTGAAAGACTTGGGTTGTAATGTGCTCAAAGCAGCTAAACTCACTCATTTTTGATGTATTAAAGGCCTAAATTTGATGCGATTTTGGATAAATTATAAACTTATCTCTCTAACTTTTTTTTATTAAAGTATTTTGAAAATCTATAGAAGCCCAGGAGAAATCACAATTTAATTTATCACGTTTAATCAGAAATTGAGCAAATTTTGAAGCGAAGCGATTTGATTTTACAACGGTGAGCACTGTTTCTTCAGCCATTCGTACTCAAATTTCTTTCCATTCTTCAGCAAATACTCTCCGACGATTTTCAGCACTCTTTCATGATATCCATTCAACCAATCGATGTGTTTCTTCTCGAGAAGATCCTTTTTGATAATCGATTTCTGCAAAAAAATCATTTATTTGATTGATTTGATTGATTTTATTGGGTTTGTTTTTGCACAATTCGTCATCAGCTATATCGAAAATGTATTGTTGTTAATTTTTTTACAAAAAAGGAGAAAATTCAAGGCTTGGGGAATCGAACCCGCGAGGTTTAGTGCCAGAGCGCTAGCCTCACGTGTCAGCGAGGTTTAGCACGTGAGGCTAGCGCTCTGGCACTAAACCAAAGCTGGATAGCCCGTGAGCTGGATAGCCAGTGAACGTCGGAGAGGTGTTTTCAAGCTGCCAACGGCTTTTTAAGAAATCGCTCTTTCAATAGAAAGTCTAATTTTTAACGAAAAGTGCTGTACTTTGTGCACTTGGAAACGCGAGCTTTCTGGTGCACTTATTGGTTATGAATAGTTTACCTGGATCGGAGCTAGTGTCAACTCTTTGAAGAGCAAGAAGCCGGGATGTTCGCTGTCGTCGACCAATTCATAGCAATTCTCGATTCTCGTCCCGTATTTCCCGGGCAGATAATAGCCCGGCTCAATCGTCAACACCATTCCCGCTTTCAGGCCTCCGTCAGGGTTTGAGGTTCTGGAAATGGGCCAGATAAGTCGGTGGGATGGGTTAGATAAGCCGGTTTACATTTACATGATCTCTAGAATCTCTAGAATCTCTAGAATCTCTAGAATCTCTAGAACTACCTGTAGCTGATCCCGCACGGTCCCTCATGCACATTCAAGAAGTGCCCAACTCCATGGCCTGTTCCATGTCCAAAGTCCAATCCCCTTTCCCAAAGTGCTTTCCTTGTGAGGGTATCTAGACGAATGCCGAGAATTCCTTTCGGAAATCTCACAATCGCGTTCTCAATATGACCAATCAAGACCAAAGTGTTGTGTTCGATGAAATCTTTATCTCCTTCTCCAATCACGACCGTTCTTGTCACATCGGTCGTTCCGTCACGATATTGACCACCTGAAATCGAAAGCAGGTTATAGCAAAAAGGATGCTGGAATCTAGCTGGGCATCCTACTAGGGTGGGGCAAAAGAAACTGTCGATGGGTATCGGCTCTCATTTATCAGAAACGAGCCATGCGAAAGGCATTATTTTTTTTATGCTTTGTTCGCATATTTGTTATTTTGTTATTTGCTATTTATTTCGACATTTCAATTTTTTGGTTTTTGTTTATTTTATTTTAAATTGATTGTTGCTTATTTTATTTTAAAATGGTTGTTGTTTGGTTTATTTTATTTTAAAATGGTTGTTGTTTGGTTTATTTTATTTTAAAATGGTTGTTCTTTATTTTATTTTATTTAAAAATTGTTGTTCTTTATTTTATTTTATTTAAAATGGGTTGTTGTTTAGTTTATTTTATTTAAAATTGCTTGTTGTTTATTTTATTTAAAATTGCTTGTTATTTATTTTATTTTAAAATACTTATATATTTTTTTAGATCATCGTCGAGGTCGAGGTCGAGATTGAGCAAAAGTTTGTGCTACGAGCAGCATTACTGTTTAACTTCAAAATTGGAAAGTCTGCTGCCCATCGTTCGCTCTGTGCTGCTTTCGGAGATGGCTGCGGAGATGGCAGTTTGTCTCTCAGGCAGTGTCAGACTTGGTTTCAACGATTCCGAGAAGGAGACGAGACTTTGGAAGATTACGAGCACGGTTCGAGGCCAGATATCTTCCAAAGCCAGATATCTGGCCATATTGGAACCATATTGGAGCCATATTGAAACCATATTGGAACCGTATCCGAACCATATTGAAACCATATTGAAATCATATTGGAACCATCTTGGAACCGTATCCGAACCGTATCCGAACCATATTGAAACCATATTGGAACCATCTTGGAACTTAATTGGCCAGATATCTTCCAAAGCCAGATATCTGGCCTCGAACCGTGCTCGTGAACGAAGCCAAACTGAGGGACGTTATTCAGGCCGATCCATGCCAATCTATGCCAATCTGCTCGAGAACTTGCGAAAATATTCCATTGTGATCATGTCACCATCGAACGCCATCTTTTTTTTTTTTGAATTTACCGTCAAACCGGCATTTTCTTTTGCACCTAGTATTTCATTTTTTTCAAAGCGCTCGTACTTTCAAAAAATGCGTCTTTGGTATCAAAAAATAGGCCTGAATTTCAGCTATTTTTTGATACTTAAACGCACATTGTAGCATAAACCAGTGTCGAGAAAAACTCGTCCAAAGCTAGACTACACAACGCTCCACACCGTCATCATGGAAGTGGGGTGCTATTAGTCAAATCGGCAGTTTCTTTTGCACCACCCTAATAGGATGGTTAAACCTAATTCAATATTACAGTAATTACAGTAATTAAGACTGAAATGGTTGCTATAAAGTCTCTTTTAGCGTCTTAGCCTCACCTGAATCCAAGAGATAAACGGAATTCTTTGAAATCGTCGCTTTCCCCGTCTCGTCATCGTGTTTATAATGGGGTAAAGCGGCGTGTTCACCCGAAGCCGAAATCGTGTCAAAGCTCAAATCAACGAAACCCGATTGCTCGGATCGCAAGTGGTTTATCTTCTCAGCGGCAATGATCTCATCAACAACATTTCCCGCTTCAACTTCTTTCTCCAACCAGCACAAGAATTCGACGAGTGCTGCAGAGTCTCTGACATGCGAGTCTCTCATTCCTTGCATTTCTATCGGATTCTTCACAGCTTTCATTAATTGTATTGGTGAAATCGATACAATAATGTTCTGCTTCTCGAAAATCGATCCTAGAGAATAATTCGTGGATTGTGGAATGAAAATCTTGTAGCCAGGCTTAGCTCGGTTCTCGTTGTGCCAATTTTGAAGGAAATGATTCGCTGTGGGATATGGATGGCACTGTACATTTTCTTGGTTTAAATGAGCCGCTACGGTGTCATCGATTTTGGAGAGATCGATGAAGAGATGCAAATCCGTCTCAGTGACAAAAACAATCGAGAAAGCTAGAGGATTAAATGGAATATCGAATCCACGAATATTCATCAACCACATTATATCATCTAACTCCGAGAATAGCACAGCTTTCGCTTTCTTCTTGCTCAACACCTCTCGAATCTCTCGCACTTTATCCGAGGTTGATCTGCCGTGTTGTTCTTGACTCAAAGCTATCACTTTCTTTACAGAAGCTGGCGGTCTTTCAGTCCAAAAACAATCCACTAAATTCTCTTGAAGCTCTACAGCGATGATTTTGTTTTGTTGAAATTTCTCTAGCATCGATTGCGCTTGCTCAAAGCGATGCAATGATGGATCGAAGCCGATTCTTGTCCCAGCATTGAAGTTCTCGGTTATCCAATCCTCTGGTGTCACCGTTTCCGGTAGACCTTGTTTCATTAGAGTCCATTCTTTGCTTAGTTGTTTATCGGCTTGAGTAAAATAACGACCATCTGTCCAGAGTAAAGCTTTATCTTCGGTGACGATCACGTAAGCGTTTGAACCGGAGAAATTCGAAAGGAAACGAACACGGAAATCTGATGGAGCTAGGTATTCACTTTGGTGAGCATCTGTGGATGGCAGGAGGTAGGCCTGAAATTGATAATTGATTGAAATTGATGTTAATGATAATCGGTTAATGCACGATTCATCCTAGCAAACTGAATCCTAAATCAGCCTCAAATCCGACTCCGGATTAGTACAATGCTAAAATTGTACAATGGTAAAGCAAAGCCCGCCGGATTAGTACAATTGTAAAGCAAAGCGCTTCAGCCTACAGTCCATCCGGCTATAAACCACTGTAACTTTCTTTAGAATTCATCATTTTCAATCTGCTTTAAACCATTCGAAAGCCCTTGAGATTCTCTATCTTTTGAGCTATAGCTCTTCTCAAACAGACAATTCTGCAGCAAGTTAAAAGCGTTTGTAATGGAGCATCGTGTAGTCTAAGTTTACTCTCAAACAAACGCTCATATCTTGGCACCAGTACTTTTGTTTACGCACGCTTTGGTATCAGATTAAAGTAGAAAGGATGGGTGATTTTTTTGAGAGATCATACATATCTTTACCGATTAACCAGTGCTGAGAAAAAGATGATTGAAAAATGGCAAAAAAGAGGCAATTTTCATCATTTTCAATCATCTTTTTCTCAGCACTGGTTAATGCTAGAAATATGTAGTTATATCTTAAAAAAATACCCATTTTCTCTGCTTTAATCTGATACCAAAGCGAGCGGAAACAAAAGGACCAGTGTCAAGATATGAGCGTTTGTTTGAGAGTAAACTTAGGCTACACGACGCTTCTATGGGGAGACGCGTCTAGACGTTCTATTAGAGTTTTTACGGTATATTTCGAACTTAATCGACCAAATAGGCCTCTGTCTAGGCTATGGTTTTAAAAGAAAAAATGATTCTGATAAGTGCAAAGTAGAAAAATGTCTAACGCTAGTCTAACGCTAGTTAGGGTATAGCCGGATAGTAAAGAATAGTAGTTGGGATATAATCGATTCTTTAGGGCTTTAATCTATACATAAGAATACCAGAAATTCTAGATAAGCTCAAATTTTTCTTTCAGCTTTTCTTTCAGCTCTAAACTTTCAATTGACGTAAAATTGAGGTAAGAATTGACGTAAGAATTGACGTAAGAATTGACGTAACTGACAATTGACTGACAATTGACAATTTGACGGACAAGTTTTCAAGTTTACCTGAATTGCCGAGCCACCAATTAGTGCCTCATCTTTGAATAGGGCTCGGAGTTGTGAGAGACGAGAGGCCATCTGAAAAATCGGGAATTTCGAAAGACAAATAGTTAAATAGAAAAATAAAACAAATGAAAGTTTGATTCGTAAAAGTTTAAAGAGCTTAAAATGCTTTGAAAAACGTTGCTTTAAGATGTTTAAAAGCTTTAAGGCTTCCTTTAAGCTCTACAACGTTGCTTGATAGCTTTAAAGCTTGCTGTAAGCTTTAAAATGTTGCTTTAAGCTTTACAACGTTGCTTGATAGCTTTAAAGCGTTTTTTAAGCTTAAAGCAACCTTGTAAAGCTTAAAGAAAGCTTTAAAGCTTGCTTTAAGCTTTAAAATGTTGCTTGAAAGCTTTCTTTAGGCTTTAAAATGTTGCTTTAAGCTTTACAACGTTGCTGGAAAGCTTTAAAGCTTGCTTTAAGATTGCTTTAATATTTAAAACCTTGCTTGAAAGCTCTCTTTAAGCTTTACAAAGTTGCTTTAAAGCTTTCAAGCTTTCTTTAAGCTTTAAAATGTTGCTTGAAAGCTTTAAAGCTTTAAAACGTTGCTTGAAAGCTTTCTTTAAGCTTTAAAACGTTGCTTGAAAGCTTTCTTTAAGCTTTAAAACGTTGCTTGAAAGCTTTCTTTAAGCTTTAAAACGTTGCTTGAAAGCTTTAAAGCTTTAAAACGTTGCTTGAAAGCTTTCTTTAAGCTTAAAGCAACGTTGTAAAGTTTAAAGCAAGCTTAAAGAAAGCTTTAAAATGTTGCTTGATAGCTTTAAAGCTTTACAACATTGCTTGAAAGCTTTAAAGCTTTAAAACATTGCTTGAAAGCTTTCTTTAAGTTTTACAACGTTGCTTTAAAGCTTTAAAGCTTTCTTTAAAGCTTAAAGCAACCTTGTAAAGCTTAAAGAAAGCTTTAAAGCTTTAAAGCAACAATTTAAAGCTTAAAGCAACGTTGTAAAGTTTAAAGTAAGCCTAAAGAAAGCTTTAAAGCTTTAAAGCTTGCTTCGCTTAGCTAAAACGTTGCTTTAAAGCTTTAAAGCTTTCTTTAAGATTGCTTTGAGCTCTACACCGTTGCTTTAAAGCTTTAAAGCTTTAAAGCTTTCTTTAAGCTTTAAAACATTGCTTTAAACAAACGTTTTTCAAATGGTTTATCAAATTTTCGTACAAAATGAGAGAATTGGCTAGCTGTGGCTTATCAGTTTGGAAAAGAGCTCGAAAAAAAATGACTGCTTTGTTGAGATTTCGTTGATAACTAGGGATTAGTCAGTGATCAGTGAGTGAAAGAAAAATATTATAGCAAAGGCAATAGCGATACTTTCAGAATGTTTAGTGACATCCATATTGTCAAAAAAGGCTTTTCTAAACAGTTTCTAAGTCTTACAATAGCTTTAAAGCCTAGCTCATAAACGAAAATCAACAGAAAATCGAAATCAAAAAGGAATTCTCAACAAATTATCAACAGAAAATCGAAAACAGAGAATGATAATTGATTTAAAAGCGAATGATGCTTGAATTGATGCTTGAATTGATGCTTTTAATTGTTTGTAATTGTTTGTAATTGTTTGTAATTGTTTTTTGGTCGCTTTTCTCTTCTGCAATTGTCTTTTAAACATTTCTGGGTCTTAAAGCGCTTTCCTTTTCTCTGTATTTCCCTGTAAATCCTCATTTAATAGTCTGTACGTGTGATAGAAGAAAGAATTTCCCCCGGAAATCCAATCTTATTTGCCTCGATTCGTTTCCCGGGTGATGACCACTTTAAAGTAGGTTTTTTTTGAAGAAAATAGAATTTTCGATTACTTTAAAATCATTTTTTGACGGAAATTCTTGATTTATTCTTAAATTTGAAAGAAAATTGTTAAATTTGAAGGACAGTTCTTGAATTTGAAGGACAATTCTTGAATTTAAAGGCAAATTCTTCAAATTCTTCAAATTTTTCAAACTTTTCAATGTTTCCCTTCAATCAACAAATATTTCATACAATTAGCGATTTGCAGGGAAGCTTTTGGTGAGTTAATTAGTTGAATGGCTAGCTTCAGAGCTGAATGGCTAGCTTCAGAGTTGAATGGCTAGGTTGAGAGTTGAATGGTTAGCTTGAGAGTTGAATGGCTAGCTTCAGAAGCTGAATGGCTAGCTTCAGAGCTGAATGGCTAGCTTCAGAGCTGAATGGCTAGGTTGAGAGCTGAATGGTTAGGTTGAGAGTTGAATGGCTAGCTTCAGAGCTGAATGGCTAGCTTCAGAGCTGAATGGCTAGGTTGAGAGCTGAATGGCTAGGTTGAGAGTTGAATGGCTAGCTTGAGAGTTGAATGGCTAGCTTGAGAGTTGAATGGCTAGGTTGAGAGCTGAATGGCTAGCTTCAGAGCTGAATGGCTAGGTTGAGAGTTGAATGGCTAGCTTGAGAGTTGAATGGCTAGCTTGAGAGTTGAATGGCTAGGTTGAGAGCTGAATGGCTAGCTTCAGAGCTGAATGGCTAGGTTGAGAGCTGAATGGCTAGCTTCAGAGCTGAATGGCTAGCTTCAGAGCTGAATGGCTAGCTTCAGAAGCTGAATGGCTAGCTTGAGAGCTTTCCAGTACTATTCTAGCCATTCAGCTCTCAAGTACTTTCCTAGCCATTCAGCTTTCAAGTATTGGATTGATGGAAAAGTCCTTTCCGATTTCTTGGGAGAGTACCTTAAATTTGTCCAATTTTGACGTTTTATAGCTCATCCTAAAGCTCATCCCAATAGCCCATCCTAAAGCTGAATTCAAGACGGATCGATTGGTAAAAACCGTTTTGAGATATCTCTTTTCTAAAAGTTTTTACAGCTATTTTAGTAAAGAGCGGCAGAGCTAAAAAATCGCTGTTTTCACGTTTCTTTCGTTTTCCGTGCAGAAACCTAGGCTAAAAACATGTTTTTCGTGATCAGCGTCAAAAATAACCCCTAGACACGCATTTTCAGAATCTTAGCAAAAAATTTTTGAAAAATATTGTCACCGGTGGAAGTCGAACCAGCGACCCTCAGATCAATAGCCGCTTTTCGCGATTTTCACGATTTTCCTTCGTTTTTCTCGTTTTGGCTCTGCCGGAAATCGGAAAGGACTTTTCCATCAACCCAATACTTGAAAGCTGAATGGCTAGGAAAGTACTGGAAAGCTGAATGGCTAGAATGGTACTTGGAAGCTGAATGGGTAGGAAAGTAATGGAAAGCTGAATGGCTAGAATGGTACTTGGAAGCTGAATGGCTAGGAAAGTACTTGGAAGCTGAATGGCTAGAATGGTACTTGGAAGCTGAATGGCTAGGAAAGTACTTGAGAGCTGAATGGCTAGGAAAGTACTGGAAAGCTGAATGGCTTGAATAGTACTTGGAAGCTGAATGGCTAGAATGGTACTTGGAAGCTGAATGGCTAGGAAAGTACTTGGAAGCTGAATGGCTAGAATAGTACTAGTACTTTGAAGAGTACTTGGAAGCTGAATGGCTAGAATAGCACTTTTGAAGAGTACTACAGGGTCCAAGAAAAGTATTGTCGTTTTTCCAACCATCATATCTTTTTTCAAAATCGCCCCAAAGAGTCCCGGCTATACCCTAACTAAACTTGAAAACTGTCAATTGTCAGTTACGTCAATTCTTACGTCAATTGAAAGTTTAGAGCTGAAAGAAACGCTTATTTGAGGTTATCTAGAATCTCTGGTACTCTTATGTATAGATTAAAGCCCTAAAGAATCCCGACTATATCCCAACTACTATTCTTTACTATCCGGCTATACCCTAACTAGTGTTAGACTAGCGTTAGACATTTTTCTACTTTGCACTTATCAGAATCATTTTTTCTTTTAAAACCATAGCCTAGACAGAGGCCTATTTGGTCGATTAAGTTGGAAATATACCGTAAAAACTCTAATAGAAGCCCCCAGAAGCGTCGTGTATAGAAGCGTCGTGTAGTCTAAGTCTACTCTTAAACAAACGCTCATATCTTGACACCAGTACGTTTATTTCCACTCGCTTTGGTATCAGATTAAAGCAGAGAAAATGGGTGTTTTTTTAAGATATAACACATGTTTCTAGCATTAACCAGTGCTGAGAAAAAGATGATTGAAAAATGATGAAAAATGATGAAAAATTGGCTTTTTTAGCACTATTTTTTTTGGTCCCTAGGGTCAGCTTTGATTTCTTAATTCATTTTTATTCATCAAATACTTTTTTAGCAACAAAATCCCTACGGTGACACTTACTGATGACGATGATGATGTGCAACCGCATTTGAGGTGAGTTTAGTGAAAGTTGAGTGAGCAGGGTTGAGCAGAATCATCCGGACAACTTGGACAACTTGGACAACTTGGAAAAGTGGTTTTCGTAGGCTTAATTCATTTCAAAGTGCCAAAGTATTATATAGAGAATTGTAGGCCTTAATCTTGGCTACATTTTGCTACTAAAAACTTTCCAATCGAATGGATACAGCCTATTTTACAAGTCCTTGAATAAGCACTAGTCAATCTCTGCTCTTTGCTCATTCAAGGACTTGTAAAATCAGTTGTATTCATTCGATTGGAAATTCGATTATAGAGAATTGTAGGCCTTAATCTTGGCTACATTTTGCTACTAAAAACTTTCCAATCGAATGGATACAGCTTATTTTACAAGTCCTTGAATAAGCACTAGTCAATCTCTGCTCTTTGCTCATTCAAGGACTTGTAAAATCAGTTGTATTCATTCGATTGGAAATTCGATTATAGAGAATTGTAGGCCTTAATCTTGGCTACATTTTGCTACTAAAAACTTTCCAATCGAATGGATAGAACTCATTTTACAAGTCCTTGAATGAGCAAAGAGCAGAGATTGACTAGTGCTCATTCAAGGACTTGTAAAATGAGCTGTATCCATTCGATTGGAAAGTTTTTAGTAGCAAAATGTAGCCAAGATTAAGGCCTACAATTCTCTATATAATACTTTGACACTTTGAAATGAATTAAGCGTACGACAACCACTTTTCCAAGTTCTCCAGATGATTTTGCTCAATCTTGGGCTTTGAGCTCAAGCTCAAGCTTCAAACTTTCAAAGTTTATCAGAAAAAATGTGTTTAGAAAAGCACAGGTCGTTAAGTACAAAGTACAGATCGTTTTTCAAAACAAATCTTTGTTTTTAGAAGTCTTGGAGCAGCTGAAAGACAACGTTTACGCCAAGAAGCTCTACGCAAATTTGTTCCAGGTGAAAAAAAACTTTGCTTTTCAAAGTCTAAAGAAGAAAATATGTGAAATATGAAAATTTTCCAATCGGCTTTGCCGTTGTTTCGATGCTTTGCTTGAATCGGAGCGCCGTCTTGCATGAAAACATTATTTTTGTTGCGATTTTGTTGCGATTGCGATGCGATCTGGCGCCAAAAAAGGTCGAATACCACGTTCCGATCCGGGAAAACGATCCGGTCGTCAGTCATAAACGTCATAAACATCCGTTCATCTTCTTGGAGCTTCTTCAGCTTCAGCATCTTCTTCAGCCGATCAGTGGATGTAATTGCAGCCCAAACCATGAAACTGCTTTCCTTAAAGTTGTGTCGAGAATATCGCAGCTCATCCTGCCAATACTATCGATCCATGCCGATCTCCCAGCTGATCCATCTCGTAGCTGATCCATCTTCCAGCTGATCCATCTTCCAGCTGATCCATCTCCCAGCTGATCCATCTCCCAGCTGATCCATCTCGTAGCTGATCCATCTCGTAGCTGATCCATCTCGTAGCTGATCCATCTTCCAGCTGATCCATCTCCCAGCTGATCCATCTTCCAGCTGATCCATCTCCCAGCTGATCCTGCCCATCTCTCAGCTCTTGGTTTCTCTGCGTAGCTGCCCCAGTCACTTGGCTGTTCTGGGCAGCTACGCAAGCCATTCTGGGCAACTACGCAAGCCATTCCGGGCAGCTACACAAGACATTCTGGGCAGCTACGCAAGCCATTCTGGGCAGCTATGCAAGCCATTCCAGGCAGCTACGCAAGCCATTCCAGGCAGCTACGCAAGCCATTCTGGGCAGCTATGCAAGCCATTCCAGGCAGCTACGCAAGCCATTCCAGGCAGCTACGCAAGCCATTCCAGGCAGCTACGCAAGCCATTCCAGGCAGCTACGCAAGCCATTCCAGGCAGCTACGCAAGCCATTCCAGGCAGCTACGCAAGCCATTCCAGGCAGCTACGCAAGCCATTCCAGGCAGCTACGCAAGCCATTCTGGGCAGCTACGCAAGCCATTCTGGGCAGCTACGCCACGTTTTAAAAACGTTAAATCCCGTTAAATCGAAATTTTAACAAGCCTCCCGTGCCATTCGGTTAAATCAAGAGTAATCAAGAGCAAAAAGAATTTTCTAGGTGAACCATGTGTTGTTTGTGGCGATGTTGCGTCCGGCATTCACTACGGAGTCTCGTCGTGCAATGGCTGCAAGACATTTTTCCGCCGAGTCGTCATTGAGGTGGGGCAAATGTGGGGAAAGCTGGGGAAAGCTGGATATCGATATGCTAGCTAGCCAGCTATCATATCGATCCAGAACTTTAGACTGACATCCAGCTTTCAAAATTTCGCGCAAATCTTTGGCCTAGTGCCAGCGGATGACCGAGATTTTCAATCAGTCCCAAGAAATTTCGTAGGACTGCTTGAGAAACTCGCCCGTTGACGGGTCTAGAATGAAAAAGTGCGCAAATTTTTCGAATCTGGACATCAGCTCGTTGAAAAATCACCGAAACACCCCGGGTTTCCTTATTATTTTTAAAATTGGAAAATTCGCCAGCACTATCCAGCACTATCAGAGACTGCTCTGCAGCGACAATGCCTGCACGATGCTCGTGCAGGCATTGTCGACATCGTTTTGCCAGAAAGATAGCGTAGAATCGTTTCCAGAACCGCACCTACTCTTGCAAAAACAATGGCGATTGTGTGATCGATAAGAGTATGCGATGCTCGTGCAGGCATTGTCGATTCAAAAAATGTTTACGAGTTGGAATGGATCGATCGGGTGAGTGGAGGGGAATTCGTGGAAACGGCCAAGAGAGGCCTGGCTTTGCTGCAAGCCTGGTTTTGTTGCAGGCTTGGCTTTGCTGTAGGCCTGGCTTTGCTGTAGGCCTAGTTTTGCAGGCCTAGCTTTGCTGCAAGCCTGGTTTGCCGCAAGCCTAGGCTGTAGGGCTGCAGTAAGGCTTAAATGCTATAGGATTTGGATACAGCATCACTAGCCAAGAGCCAAAGGATCAGTGTTTCATTTGAAAAGAAAACCCAAGTGTTCAGAGTTGAACGTGGAGCGCCGACGAAAGCGAAAAACCCGGGACATGGGAATGGGAGTCGAGGGGCACAAGGATCCACAATGTGAGTGAGAATTTTGAAAGAGACATCGCCCTCACAACTAGAGTGCTTTTAAAGGCCGCCTTATATACGCCGCCCTATATACGTCTTCTTTTAAACGCCGCCTGATAGACGCCGTCTTTTAAACGCCGCCTTATATACGCCGTCTTATAAAAGCCGCCTTTTAAACGCTGCCTTACATAAGCCACCTTATATACGCCGTCTTTCAAACACCGCCTTATATACGCCGCCTTACATACGCCGTCTTATAAAGCGGTCTTTTAAACGCTCCCTAACATAAGCCGCCTTATATACGCCGTCTTTTAAACATCGCCTTATATACGCCGTCTCATGAACGCTGCCTTATATACGCCGTCGAATATACGCCGGCTTATATACGCGGTCTTGTAAACGCTGCCTTACATACGCCGTCTTTTAAACACCGCCTTATATACGCGGTCTTATGAACGCTGCCTTATATAGGCCGTCGAATATACGCCGTCTTATATACGCGGTCTTATGAACGCTGCCTTATATACGGCGTCGAATATACGCCGTCTTATATACGCGGTCTTGTAAACGCTGCCTTACATACGCCGTCTTATATACGCCGTCTTACATACGCTGCCTTACATAAGCCGCCTTATATACGCCGTCTCATATATAGGCTGCCTAATATACGCTGTCTTACTTACGCCTTCTTTTAAACGCCGCCTTATATACCCGGCCTTATAAACGCCGTCTTTTAAACGCCGTCTTATATACGCTGCCTTATATACGCTGTCTTTTAAACGCCGTCTTATATACGCTGCCTTGTATACGCCGCCTTATATACGCTGCCTTATATACGCTGTCTTTTTAAGATATTCAGCTATTTAACTGATTTGGTGGCAAATTCCCTTGAAATTTAAAGATATTTAGCCGTTTTGACTGATCAAATATCAAATCCCGCACTCCGGATACGTTGGCATCTTCTTAAGCGCACTTTTTAGAGCATAAAGCCTAGAACTCTTATTGTTTGGATCTGGCTACCGTAGCCTACCGTAGCCTACCGTAGCCTGGCGTCTTCAGCGCTAGAGTTCGATGCGCCTTTTCGAAAACCAAGCTCCTTAATTCGAAAGTCTAGGGTCCGACCCGCTAATCGATCTGCTTTACAAGAAAGAAGTTTGCTACGAGGCTCTGCTCACATCTACCGTCTCCCCTCTACACTCGTCGCTAAAAGATGCCCTCTTGAGTCCAAAGGCTTTCGCGCAACCGTTGACGCTGGTGAGTGGACTGCCTCGAGAAATTGTGCTTCTTTAAAGCGCTGTAACTTTCGATGTAGACGACGAATTTCGAAGTGTTATATCGCATCTGAAAGCTCTCATTGAGCTCTACAAGATGCGCTATGAGATTTTGAGGATTACGGTAGTTTAAGCGAACTTTTAGGGGCTTAAATGAAAGCGAAATTGTTTCGTGATTTTTGCTGATAAATTGATTGAATTTTGAATGGCTTGGAATCATTTTTGGATAATTTTGAATAATTTTAAATCTAGTACACCTCGCATCCACTTCCCGTTGGCGAGCAACGGAATTTCTCGTTTTGGCGCGCGAAAATCTTGTCGCTTTTGGTGGAATGGGCGAAATCGTTTGAGGTATCGTTACTACTGTAGCTATGGGCTTACTGTAGCTGTAGGGTTACTGTAGCTATAGGCTTCCTGTAGCTATAGGCTTACTGTAGCTATAGGCTTCCTGTAGCTGTAGGTTTACTGTAGCTATAGGCTTCCTGTAGCTATAGGCTTCCTGTAGCTATAGGCTTCCTGTAGCTATAGGCTTCCTGTAGCTATAGGCTTACTGTAGCTATAGGGTTACTGTAGCTATAGGCTTAGGTTTTAGATAAATTCCGGGAAATCCCGTTGACCTAAGGATAAGGAAAAAAAAGAGAGATAAGGAACCAAATTTGTAGAAATAAGGAACCAAATTTGTAGAAATAAGGAACCAAATTTAGAGAGACAAGGAACCAATTTAGAGAGATAAGGAACCAATTTAGAGAGACAAGGAACCAATTTAGAGAGACAAGGAACCAAATTTGTAGCTTAGAGACAAGCTACCGTAAACTTGGCTATTTCAGGTATTCAGCAAGCTTGGCCTCGAAGATCAGATGCGTTTAATTGTGCACACGATTTTCTCGAATCTTGTGCTCGCCGAGGCTTTTCACACACCCGAAAAGTACACCGATCGAATCGTTTTCCCGGATGGGTTGAGTGGGTGAGTGGAAAGGCAAAATATAGGGTTCGGCTCAATTACCCAATTTAAAGCATTTCCTATTGCTTTCCTTTAAAAATTTCTTGTTTTTCTGGATGTCACACAAGAAATTGGTGCGCCAAGAAAGCTGTGTTTGCGAGATTTGAGTGGTACAGTTTCGGAGTTGGATAACTGAACCCCTTTGGACCGTTTTTACAAACGCACAGCTTCTGGTGCATCAAGTTCTTGCTGTTCTGGATGTCACAGGATCCATTGGTGCGCCAAGAAGGGTGTGTTTGCGAGATTTGATCACAAATTACATATTAGTGATGGTATAGGGTAGCGACAATAATAAATCTAATCCAATCAATCTAAAGCCTTTCAGTTACCGTAACCTCACCTCTGGAGTGTTGAAGGAGCGCTCAGGGTTAATTCCAACAGTCGTCGCAGTCATCAACAATATTCTTGTGCCAATTCGACGAATGAAAATGACAAAGACTGAATATCTGATATTGCAAGCGATCATCTTTTATGATCCAGGTACAGTAACGAGAGCCTTTTACAGTATAACGGAGTTGAGCTCAGGCTTACTGTAGCTATAGGCTTCCTGTAGCTATAGACCTACTGTAGCTATAGGCCTACTGTAGCTGCAGGCTTACGGTAGCTGTAAGCTTACTGTAGCTATAGGCTTACTGTAGCTATAGGCTTACTATAGCTGTAGGCTTACTGTAGCTATAGGCTTCCTGTAGCTATAGGCTTATTGTAGTTGTAGGCTTATTGTAGTTGTAGGCTTACTGTAGCTGCAGGCTTACTGTAGCTGTAGGCTTACTGTAGCTATAGGCTTCCTATAGCTTACTGTAGCTCACTGCAGCTCACTGTAGCTCACTGTAGCTCACTGTAGCTTACTGTAACTAGTATAGGACCCTCAGGGTTACTGTATTGAGTAGACTGCTCTCCAATTATCCATTCGATTTGCAGAATGTCTCAGCCTCTCCGAACAAGCTCAGCAATTGATCTCAGCGAAACGTCGACGCCTTCTCACGTCCCTCCGAATGCATTTAGACATGAAAATGGGAGATCCCATTGAAAGCGCGAAAAGATTCGCCGAGGTTTTGCTGAGAATCTCGAATGTACAGGTGCATAGAATTTTTTATACTGCGAGATATCAAGGTTAAAATAGATTCACAAGGCTTACTGTAGCTATAGGCTTACTGTAGCTGTAGGCCAAGCATCAATTAGAGTTCTTCATCGATATTATCGATTCAAAACGTTCATGTTTAACCGTTCGGATCTCAGTTTCTAGAAGAGCTATCAATCTGAAAATTGTTTCATTGAAAAGCCAAGAATTTCAGCTTTTACTTTTACTACAAGCTACGGTAGCTGAGTCACAATTTAGACTATTTTCCCGTCTTAATTCCAAGCTTTCTATTCTTCGTATCGAATTTCGAAATTTCAGAAAGTTGCCGCATTCAAACGCGAAACCCTATGCACGATTGAAACTTTCAATTTGATGACCCCTCACCCGTTCACAATGGAAATTTCAAAAGCCTATCCCGATGTTAGCTTTTTCTAGACTTTTTCTAGACATTTTCTAAACTCAAAATCATTTTTTTGTGTTCTTGCGTTTTCTAAATAGCACTTATAACTAAAACTACCGTAATAAAACCTAAAACCGCTAATTTTCATTGATTCAGTCTTATGACTCAACAATTTTTGCTAGCCCCAACGATTTCCCCAGTTTTGTCAACTTTTCTCGAATTTTGAATGCTTTTTATGGGGATCTGGAGTGCATCGAAGCGCCCCAGATCATTTTGATTTGATTACGGTAGTTTCAAAAATATGTGCCATTTAGAAAACGTTCTCTAATTCTGCGATATTCCACGATTCCAGTCTATCCTTTTCCCCTCCTTTGTGTGATCTCTAATTTGTGATTTCTTCTCCAAATATAGAAAAGAAAAGTCGATACATATCCAAGTTGAATGTTTAATTTAAAAATTCTCTAAATATTTTTTTCTCAATGGAAAAAGCAATAACAAAAAAAAAACAAAACAAGCAATTTCCTTCCAAAATTTCATTAACTGAATAGCTTAATTAAAGAAAAAAAAAGCGAGAAAGTCTATAAAGTAGACTTGCTGTTACTAGCTTAGTTGGGGAGGGAAGGCACTATATCCCAGAAAAAGTGCTTTTGAAGAAATCGTGAAAAAAAATTTTTTATTTGGGCTAAATAGGTAAGCACTGTCATAAGAGTAATACTGTAATGGTAATAAAAAGACAAAGTGAATACTGAATGCAAAGTGCAATATTAGAGAAATTGCATGAACAAATAAGGTTAGATAAACTTTCATTGAATCGATGAAACATATTTGGCGAAAAAAAATTCATCGTTCACAGCATAAATACAGTCACGATTCTCGTCGATTCTTTTCCAATAACAATGAATTGGATTATCAAGAGAATAAAGAATAACATCCTGTGTTTTCTCAGCGTTTCCATCATTGTATCCCTGATGAAAGTCTTGTTTCGTTCGTTGACATCACGAATTTTGGGTAAGTTCTTGATCCAATTGTTTATTTCAAATTGTATTGGGCGAATCACCACCCAATGCAAGAAACAAGCGGCTTCTTTATTTTCACTCGGAATTCCGGAATTTAGAATCAACTCAATTGACGATACGATATTTTGCGGAAAAATCTCAGCCACGAATAACTCGAGTTGAGTCTTCGAAAGTGCCGAATGAACTGTTGGATATAGATCAGTAACAGCTAGTGAGATCGTTCTGCAATGTTGAAGCCTTCCACCGATCAAAGACAACAAAAGCTCTTGGTCTACTCCGTCGTTCCTACGGTAAACCTTCAATGATGCTCGATCGGTGACTTCAGCTTTAAAATTCACCAAACAATCGCTGAAATTGTCCCCATAGATCTTCAACTCGTCGACTTGTTTCAAATTGGCGAAGATCTTCTTGAGTGCCGAAAGTTCCTTCTTATCAATGTCGCGATCTCCAACTAAAATGTTCAAAAATGAACATCGTTCAAGTTGTGCCAAGAGAAGAACATCCGAATCGAGATTGAAATAACGAAAATATGATCCAGGAAATTTCGTGATTTCAGCGATGTAGAAGTAGTCGGTGTTTTCGTTTTCGTTTTCGCTTTCTTCTTCATCGTCATCCTTCACCGTCATCCTTCACCGTCATCCAATATTCTCTTTGCTTGACGTGAATAGAATGGACTTGTTTTCCAAAATTCCGTGCTGGCTTCTGGAGAAGAATCCATCGAAATCTTCTGTCAACTTTCATCAATTCGGGCACAACTTTTGGGTCCAATTCATCGATTACTTCCAAAACGAGATCGTAGCAGAGTCGATTCATCGGGAAATTTGCGAAGTTCGCCATTCTACCTGAAAGAAAAAAAATTAAATCAATTATGTTGGTGAAAGACAAAAAGAAGATTGGTGTTAATATGCTTAATAGATTGTTGACCATTTTAGCAAGTTGTATTAGCATGAAACACCAAACATGTTATAAATGCTGTATAACCATATTTGATTATCCTAGAATGGGTCGATAAATGGTATCAATACAACCAATCAAAACCTTAGGTCCAACTAAGCGAGGATAAAAATGGCCCCTCCCAACCACCAAAGTACCCTCCTTTTTGTCGTCTGATACCATAATCTAGTTGCACATGTTCTTCGCAAATAAAACACTGACTTTAAACACACAAGAATTTTCCGAGGTATGGCAAAGTCTTTACAAATCGCAAATCATTTCAAAAGAAACCAAGAACAATTTATTAGTTGGCAAATAACAAGATTAACAAATGTATCAAAATGTGCATCAATGAGTCGGTTCATTGCAAAAAGGTATTTATTTGCCGAATCGAACACATAGAAACACTCCCGTTCCTCGTCGATTTGCTGCTTGAAAGTCATTCGTTTTCGAATCGATTGCCTTCTAGTCAAATAATATTTCTTCAACATTTCATTCGCGTTTCTCCAAACTTTCGCCTTTTCCTCGCGACTGATTTGCACCATACCTTGTTCCGTGAAATACTGGTGAAATTGTCCATGTCGAAGTGAGATTTTTGGCCTGAAACATGAAGAAAACATCAGGGCTTTTGCTCAGAATTCCTTTAGTGACACCCAAATGAACCAACTCATCAAAAGGCATCTGGTCGTAATTGTAATCGACTTCAATGAAGATCATTTCGGCTCCAGACATTGAAAATTTCTCATATAAACGCTAGGTATTTATCCAGGTATTTTGGATTAAAATTCGAAACAATTTCCTCAAAGCCTTGACAGTGTTCGAGAAATAGACGAATTCCATTTACTTCTTTGATGCTCGCGAGCGCTTTAGTGCTTGCACTTCAAAGTCCGGGAAATGATGATATTTAAAGTTCAACGTCAGCTCGAAAACCGTTCGAATGCTCTCCGGGAAAACCACCTTTTCTGTGCAAAGATCGGATCCAACTGCTCGATAACTTCCAGCTTCAGATCGTAGCAAAGTTTCTCCATTAGAAACGTCTTCAACTTCCTCATTTTGAATGGCATTGGCGCTTCTTGCACCTGAAAATCAACAACTATTCAATGAGTGAAGATGAAAACGATTTTAAAAGGAGCCAAAATTCAGCGCAAAGTCTTAATCAAAGTTCTTCTTGCATCAAAACACAGTCGTTCTATGATAAAATTAGGTAAACTTTATCTAAATACATTAATCAGCTTGTGAGTTATATTTCAAGACTGCTAAATTTCAAAAAACACAACGAAAAAACACTTGTTCACATGTCAAAATACTTAAATAATGTTTACTTCTCCACTTAAATTTTAACTTGCGGCGTTTCACATACAAGTTTCTCAAACATAATTTCATACTCACAAAACTTTCGAGTATCAACAAAAAAAAGCACTCGTTACAGCAAAACCCACAAAATGCATCAAGTCTCCCTTTTCAGGCGTTTCCTTGTCATGTATTGGTTTCAAATCGTCAATGACGCCATTTAAGAAAAATGTTTTGTGCTAAAGTGTAAACCTTTATTTTCCTAGCTTCAAAAACTAAACGGCATAGAAAAAATATAAGGCAAGGAACTAGAAATAAATTAACACAAACATACGAATAAAATACCTAGTAAACACTTTAAAAAAGAAAAAACGATCTTAACTTTGTTACACGATTGACGGAAAATCACACACATTTGTGGAAAAACGGGGAAACGAATAAGAGAAACGATCAAATCAGAGCTTTTAAAAAGGAATTTTAATCGCTGTACGAAATTTACACCCATATCATATCAGAAACGCCATCAAAATTCAATTAGAAAAAGAGATTTCGAGAAATTGTGTTAACTCCAATAAATTGTAACGATGAAATCTCAAACTAGAATGAGTATACCCTAACAAAAATGAAACAGCAAACATCTTTAATAGATTCGAACGAATTTACTCGTGGCTCCCGATTTCCATGATTTGTCCTCTTTGTCGATTGTGGCGCGACATAGGGGGCAAGTATGCTTCTCTTCTAGCCATGTATCGACGCATTCCTCGCAGAAGATGTGGGCACATACTAACTAAAAGAGGAAATTTGATTCATTTCATGCACTATTTTCTATCAACCCAGCTTATGGTTTAGCTCAAAAAATGTAAAAATGAGTTCTGAAAAATTTTGTGATACTATAAAAACTATGGTTTTATATTTAAAAACAGCTAAAACCTACTTTCAATGGTGTCTTCAAATCCGAGTAACATATTGAGCATTGTGACTCGACGGCGCGGATCTCTTCTTGGCTTGGCTTCACTCCGTACATCGAATTCCTCATCACCGTCTTCACCGATGTGTACCAGTCGGGCACATAGCTCCTGATTTCCCGAATCTAAACACGAGACAGTAAGATGATTGGCTTAAAAATCACCTTAGCTATCCAATAACAAATGAGCAAGAAGAGGTCCAAGTAGTGCATTCCCGCATAACCCGCTGGACCAATAAAGTAGATCGACCATCTAAATGATTCATTATTATTTGAAGATTAAAATTTCGTCAAATATTTACCTCGAGGTCGGCAAAATGGCTCGGTGTAGTTGTGAAGAGTACTCGGTCGATTGGAAAAAGCGTCGTTTCCTCTTCAGTCCAACCCACGTCTCCGGAATTAACGCCAACTAAATATAACTAATTAATAATTTCGAAAAATCTGATTTATCTTTACGCGTTATTAAATGTAGGCCAAACGTTTATAGCTGACTGGTTCTTGCAATGGAAGGATTTCAAAAACTTACCACTCCTTTAAACCCAACCACAATCGTTTTGCAGAAGATATCGGTGAGAATGATGAGCGTAAGCGTGCGTTCGACACCCGTATATGCCAGTTTGTGCACTTGAAACGTTACACAGTCTAAAATTAGTTATTAGTTTGTTCGTGTTTGTTTGTTTTTAGATAACTCACTTAAGATAGCCCCGAAATCAGAATCGTCAATGAGCGGTGGGATGTGGTACGTGTACAAAGCGAAGAAGAAAAAAGCTACTCGCGTGTTCGTCTTTGAGAGAACTGCTTGTAGAAGTTGATCCAAATCGATGTAGAAAGTCATTCTAAAGTTAAAAACGTTTAAGAATTTTGTTTTAGAACCAAAAATTTCAGTATACGGTCTTTATTCTAATAAGAAGCGCATGCGCTTCTTTTTTTAATCATTCCATAAAATAGATTTTAAGGCTGCGCTTCTATTTTTCAATGACTAAAAAAAATTGATGAAGTAGTTCGTGGAAAGAAAACCTTTAGGTAACAACCAATTAAAAACAATTCAATTGTCAAAAAAGCCTTATTCTCGATTTCATTACCGTTAGATTCGCCGACTTCAATCGAGATTTCACTATTATAGTCAATGCAAGAAAAGCTATAGATTAAGCAATAATGATAATAATAAATCTAAGAAAGAACGAAGCAAGAAAGATCCTTTGCTAAAGGATTGGATACTAAAATATAAAACGTCAAAATGTTTAAAGTTATGAGAATTTTATGACATAAATCATCAACGCTCGACGGAATTTAAATACCTAGTCTAAGTTATAAATTCGATCCAAATAGGCTGCTTACCTAATTGCAAGAAAAATTTATCAAAATTGCCGCTGCTTACGCAAAACAAATGATAAAGAATGCTATTTTTCTCCAGGAAATGCCTCTTTAGCTTTATATACCCTTAAAGGCTCAAAACTAAAAGTATTCGGTCTACTAAGCTGAATATCCATAGTTATTGCTTCTATTAGAATAAATATCAGATGAATCTTTGATTTAGTTAAAACATAATTTCCTTGTAATAAATCTATACTTTGTATCAGAATCATTAAAACTCACCCAAATAGTAAATAAATTATCGTGTAAAAATTCTCGTAGACCATTTTGATGAGGAAGATGAGGAAAAACGGCAGAAACGACAACGATATCTTCAAAGCCTAAAAGTTCATCGCGTTTTTCGTAAAACAGCCAAAAGTTACCGATTGTGCCTCTCGATTGTTTTGAAAGTGATCCCTCAATCTGGCGTATTGCGTGCGCAAATTTTGAACATCCTGAAAATGATAATATAATGATTTGTTAGCTTTGTTATTTTTTTACGCATCTTTGGCTCTTGTTTTCAAAGGACCAATGTCTTTATTTCAAGGACTGACAGACTGTTCTTAAATACGTCAAATCCTCTCGTTAGAATCATTAGCGTATAGTCAAATCCATGCATCAAGGTTAGGCTTTTCTAAATGTCCTTAAACTTCTCTTAAACATACTTCATCGACTGTATCCTGTGACGTATCCTGGTTCCCATTCGTATCTTCCGTGACGATCGTTGGTTGCACCCCGCTCGATTCTTCGTTCTCCGTTTGCATCGGTGTCGTCACTAAAGCACATTTATAGTAGTTTGTTAAATTCACTAATAATGTTATCTAACTAACCTCTTGAAGAAGAATAATGAATTGTGCTGTGATTCTGCTAAGCAACTATTTGTTAAACTCGTTTTTGATTCAAAGCTTTTGTATAAAAAACCTATAACATTGTTATGTAAAACGAAAGGCTTACAACTTAGAACTGTCGCTTCATTGTTTGCATACATTTCTTCCATATTGATCACCGTAAAGTTCGTTGGCGCCTGGAAAAGGAAAACAATTATTCGAAATCCGGTGTGAATTAAGGAAACGCGCGGACTTTTAAAGCCCATCTAGAAAAATTTATCATTTATAGCTTATATTTTACAGCTCTTAAAAACTTTCATTAAAAATTTTCAGCCGGTTAACACAATTTAAGGATGAAGCTAAGCTAAGCTAAGCTAAACTAAACTTTTCAAAGCAAATCAAGTTGATTTTATCATTTTTTAATTCAAAATCTCAGCCGATTGCACAAAATTCTGCGGGAAAAACTATTGAAAAGCAGCAATTTCCGACAAAATTTGCCAAAATTGCTAAAATTTACCCTTCTTTGCATGATTGCCGGTGCGCCGATGAGCGGCGATTCGACCGAAACACTCCGAAACGCTTCCGAGAACTAAAACAATATATAAACAATAATACAAATTTAAAGAGAAATTGTTAAATTTTACACAAAATCTTAATAAATGAGCGAAAGAGCGCGTTTTCCTTGCGTAAACGCCCCGTTATCAGTGTTTGTTATGATGCAAGGGGTTGGGAATCACAAGGGAGGGGCTCATTTTGCGATTCACTAATATGCGTCATTTTTTCGCCGATCCTGCCTATCAATTTTCCTGTTTGTTCTAAATACACTTGTTCAGTTAGCAAACATTCGGTTAAAGAACATTTAAAGAAATAAAATCCTTCGAGTTCAAACATTATATTACTAAAGTACGTTTAATCTGAAATTTAACAGACAGTCAAAGCACACGACAACTCTTACAACCTATGTTATTTGGTTAGCTAGAAGTTCTAGCTTTTACATCATTTCTTTTACATGATCATCTTGTTTTCCCTTTAAATCTCTCAAATCTATCTACCTGTCTCAAAAGATTCGGTTCAAACGACGTTTATGGAAGTGATGAGGGACGAGTCGGAATGGGGAAAATCGTTCTTCTTTCTTCACTCGATCCGCCGGACATCGTCTAAAATCAAGAAAATTAGCTAGTCGTGCAAAAATAGCAATCAAATATGAGACAGAAACGAGAAAACTTGTAAAATAAGTGGTAAACGGTCAGAAAAGCTCTATAACGGCATGAATTCGCTTAGTTTCTAACGAAATTTTCTGCTTTTTAGCATAAAAAGCAGAAACTTTGCCTAGAAAGCTTAAATTTCTAGAAAAAGTTTAAAAATTGAGCTGTTTTCAAGAAAAATTCTTTAGCACTTTGAACAATTTTTTTCAAAAACGTTTCGCTTTATACTCCAAAATCAGCACGAAATAGAATCCGCCAAATGGCTACCGTAACGGCGGCAAAGAGAGAAAAGAGGCAAAGAAAGAATTCGCCAAAATTTTTGGTCTGTCATTTGTTCTATTTAACCTCTTTAACAACAAAAAGAAGGGTACTTTGGTGGTTGGGAGGGGCGACTTTTATCCTCGCTTAGTTGGATCTAAGGTTTTGATTGGTTGTATTGATACCTTTTATCGACCTATTCTAGGATAATCAAATATGGTTATACAGCATTTACAACATGTTTCGAGTTTCATGCTAATACAACTTGCTAAAATAGTCAACAATCTATTCAGCATATTAGCTTCTTTTGGTGTTTCACCAACATAATTGATTTATTTCTTTTCTTTCAGTTTCCATGCCGAACTTCGAAAATGGTTTCCCGATGAATCGACTCTGCTACGATCTCGTTTTGGAAGTAATCGATGAATTGGAGCCAAAAGATGTGCCCGAATTGATGAAAGTTGACAGAAGGTTTCGATGGATTCTTCTCCAGAAGCCAGCACGGATTTTTGGAAAACAAATCCATTCTATTGACGTCAAACAAGGAGAATATTGGGATGATGATGAAGAAGAAAACGAAAACAACAACAACGACTGCTTCTACATCACTGAAATCAGGAAATTTCCTGAATCAACTTCTCAGTATTTCAATCTTGATTCGGATGTTCTTCTCTTGGCACAAGTTGAACGATGTTCGGTTTTGAACATTTCCCAAGTTGGAGATCACGACATTGATGAGAAAGAACTTTTGGCACTCAAGAAGATCTTCGCCAATTTGAAACAAGTCGATGAATTGAATGTGATGATCAACGATGGAAACAATTTCAGCGATTGTTTGGAGAATTTAAAAGCTGAAGTCACCAATCGAGCATCTTTGAAGGTTTACCCTTGGAATGGCGAAGTAGAAGAAGAGCTTTTGTTATCTTTGACCGGTGGAAGGCTTCAACATTGCAGAACGATCTCATTAGCGGTTACTGATCTATATCCAAGAGTTTATTCGGCACTTTCGAAGACTCAACTCGAGTTATTCGTGACTGAGATTTTTTCGGAAAATGTCGTATCGGCAATTGAGTTGATTCTGAATTCCGGAATTCCGGGTGAAAATAAAGAGGCCTCTTGTTTCTTCCATTGGCGGGAGAGAGTTGAAATAAACAATTGGATCAAGAACTTGCCCAAAATTCGTCATGTCAACGAACGAAACAAGACTTTCATCAGGGATACAATGATGGAAACGCTGGGAAAACACAGGATTATGTTTTATTATTCTCTTGAGAATCCAATTCATTGCTATTGGATTAAAATCGACCAGAATCGTGACTGTATTTATGCTGTGAACGCTAAATTTTTTTTCGGCAAATATGTTTCATCGATTCATTGAAAGTTTATCTAACCTTATTTGTTCATGCACTTTCTCTAATATTCACTTTGTATTCAGTATTCACTTTGTTTTTATTACCGTTACAGTATTACTGTTATGACTGCACTTACCTATTTAGTCCAAATAAAAAATTTTGCAAAAGTGGTCAATTAATTTTGAGAGGATTCGAGATTTCGAAAAATACTTTTATGTTTACGTTGAGATTGGTATTGACAAAAATATTGTGTCAGTAGAGTAAGTGATGTTTGTGAATGCTTTTTTTATGTTCGCTTTGATCGAATTAATCTTTCAATTTTCGAAATAGCTTTCAATATCGAAACGAACGATAATAGCTTTAAACCATTATTTTTGCTTCGGTTAGCTTTTTCCACTAAAATCTTTCTATTTTCAGGCATGATGCGAACACGACGAATGGTCGGACAGAAGGCGCACGAGATGATGAAAGAAGAGAAGAAAATGCTGGAGACGTTCAGCAAACGAGCGAAAGAACAAAGTTCGTTTGTTGGTTTAAGATTTTTAAAGTTGGCCAACGATCAAGGGTAAGGATGCTACACTTTTTCATTAAAGAAAAACTTTCTTTTTTAAACTTTACCCTGGTTTACGAAGAAAAAGCGCTGCTTTTGATTGGAAAAGTTTATAAATCGTTATTTAAAGAAGTTCATTGTAATTTGGGAAAATAACCCTTATAAGAAACCCTCCTCTGGGCAATGATTGGCTAAAAACGATAATTTTGTGTAAAGTTCTTACGCTTATACGTAAAAATTGATGATATGGACTTGTTACCTTAAACTTTTAACCCTTTGTCTTTTAGATGCAGAATTCATTGCGCGGACAACGGAATATCATCGTGCGGAGAACAAATATGTGATGTACGACGAGCCGGCACTTCTCGACATGTACTGCGAGCTGACAAAACATTTAAAAAAGGTTAGACAGATTTTTAAAGTTGTGTAAACAAGGGAATTAATAAAATTCGTGTTTTTCCTTGAAAAGTGTTAAACTTTATTTTAGAGCATTCATGTGAAAGAAAGTGGTTTAGTTTTTTTAAACAAAACAGAAATTAGAACTAACATTAGGCAAATTTTGTAAATCGATTGTAAACTTTAGCATTGAAAGATAAAAATGTTGACATACTTAATTTTTTTCTCATTTAGGGACTTCTCCAAATGTCGCTCGTCGATTTTCTGACTGAAGAGAAGGGTGTTGAAGTGCAGTCGGACGAGACGGTGTCGCAGATCGGGGATCAACAAGAAGAACAAGTGGCTGAGCAGCAAGATGATGAGGATGGGTACGAAGAACAGCAAAACGACGTCGATTTCGAGCCGGCTCAAGTGGAAGTGGCACCAGCTGAAGAGTTACAAGAAGGAGAAGAGGATGAAGAACATGAAGAACATGAAGAACATGAAGAACATCAACAAGAAGAACATCAACAAGAAGCCGCCGAGCTCGAGTCGCCAAAGAAGAACGATAAAGTGAAAGGGGTCCCCGAGCCATTGATGCCACAAACGCAAGAAAATGTTCTGCGTCAAGACAACCGAGAGCGAGGCTCGCCACTACTCGGAGCATTGTCGATTGAGGACACCGAGATGATTGAAGATGTCGTCGAGATTCGCCGGCCATCCATTCACAAGGCCATCCTATCATTGACTTCCCTTCCGCCACCAAAGCCTCCACGAGCCGATATGTCAACGACAACCGATTCTCTTCTGCAGACGTTAGTTTTTGATTTAACGCATACTGATTTTTCATTTTTAGGAGCACAGCTGCAAGCAGCTTCCAAAGTATCAAGAGTGATTGCTCGGAAAATGTTCGACCTCGGTGAGCTCGTTTTAAAATATTTAACAATGCATAAGTTGTTTAGTAACGTTCGCGAATTGATAGTGGAGACTCCAGTGGGTAATAAACGTATCGTCGTGCCAAAGCTTCCAACGATTATCGCCTCACGAATCAAGGCCAAAGAGTGGGTGACATGAGTTATCCACTTAACTTTTGTTTTTAGCAGGGTGGTCCCAGGACGAGTACTGGAAGGAAACGAGTTGGGCTTCTCGATCAACGGCTCGCCTCTCGTAGCAGCTCCAACGCAACGACGTGATGAGGGGATTGCCGAAGTTGTTGATCAGGTGAGATAGCTTTTTGGTGAGGGAAAATGTGTACGATTTTTCAATATAATTTTAGATTATGAAAAGTTTTGTCGTTGGGTTTTAACCATATACGATTTGTAACCATACTTTCGAGTTCAAATAATATTTTGATTTTTTCAGGTTTTGTCGCGCCCCGAAGCCGAGCTGACGCCTATGTCTCGTGATTTGGCCACCGCCCTCAAAGCAGTTCTTCGCAGCAAGTTCAACGATCCATAAAATGAAGGAAATTAAATTGTTACTCATTCTTCGCATTGTATTATTAATTGTTTTTCGTTTATGATAGCCTAGCAATTTTGTGTTTAATTTGTTGATGTATAATTCTTATCGTTGGTTTAGTGTTGATGTATAATTCTTATCGTTGGTTTAGTTGATGTAGAATTATGGATGTGAATCCAGATGTGGTATAAACGCTTTAAAAAGTAATGCATGTGAATGTTTGTTCGTTTTTCGAGTTTACTTCTACTGGAGCTTTGGATAAGTTGTGTTTGAAAAAGAGTCGAAATTGATGAATTCGCCGTCAAAAGCTGAGAAGATTTTCAGGGAAATGAAGGGAATTTGCAGCAAAAAAAAAGCATCACAAAGGGGAAAGGCACCGATTTTTGACAGGAAAATGTGTGGGGAATCTTTGTTCAATCGCGGAATACTCGAAATTAACGGTAAATTCTTCATAAACACTCAGGAAATGGCAGACTAGGAAAAAAAATAGTGAAATCACAATGAATTTTTGGTGGAGATCTGGAGGAAACGTGAAAATAGACAAAATAAATCAAAACGTGAAGGATTTTAGGCATTTTAGGCAACTCGTTGAATTGATGAAAGAGGTCTTATTGATTGCTTATTGATAATGATCGCTTCTCATTGATTGGTCGATAATATCAATAATATCAATAATAACCATAATAACCATAATAACCATTATCAATGATCGATCAATAAGCAAGTCTACTTTATAGACCTTCTGGCCTTTTTTTCTTAACAAGCTCAGGACATTTTTATTTTCAGAAAACATGATTGTGTCAGGAAGTGTTTTAAAAAGATGATCTTTCGGACTTCCAATCAATCTCACCCTAAAATCTCCCCGCTTTGTTTATTTGAATTCAAAGTTTTATCATTTGTGTCCTCTTCCCAACAATGCATAGAGAGTGAGGAAAAATTTTTCATTTTATTCACAATTCATAAAAAAGACCATTGATTGCATCAAAATCCTTCAAATTATCCACTTGATGGCTCGAGCTAAACAAGAAATGGGTTGAATAGAAGAAAAGACTTTACAATATAAAACTTTTAGCTAAAATTTGAGCATTTCTAGTTTTGAAAAAATCATTGTTAGATGCATATTTGGTACGGAAAAACCTTGTTTTTTTTTTTGTTTTTTTGAATAAAAATACATGCTCTGATTAGCGTGTGTAAAAATAAAAATAAAATATAAAGTATAAAAACAATAAAATAAAATAACAAATTTTCTAACGTAGCGATCACAATTTTTACCAATGACCGCAGGACTTTTCCAGAGCTTTGCCGTTTTTTGTTGAAAAGCAAACAGAACACATCCAAGCTGAAAATTAAAAAGAAAAATTCCTGGCTTGAAATCCTGGCTAAAAATGGGTAAAAATGGGTAAAAATGGAAACTAGAAGCGATAAAGCTAGTGATTTTTCTCGATTCTCTCCATTTTACTTCATTTTTTCATCACACACTTCACCTCATCACTTGCATCCGAGCAATCATTCGTTCCATCACAATGAAACGATGATGGAATGCATTGAAGACCATTGTGGCATTTGAATTCGATTGGTTTGCACACGACATCGGCTGCTCGAAAATCTGAAATCAATGATTTCGTCGAGTCACATTTTAGGCAATAGTTTTTGGTGCTGAAAAAATGTGCAAGTGTTGGGTACAATTTTGCAGCCAAGCTACTTATCCACTAGACTGACATCCAGCTTGGGGAAAAGGGAAAAAGCTGACATCCAGGGGAAAGCTGGGGAAAGCTGGGTGTTAGCTAGCCAGCTATCGATCGAGAATGTTAGCTAGCCAGCTATCGATCCAGAATATCGATCCAGAACTTTAGGCTGACATCCAGCTTTCAAAATTTCGCGCAAATCTTTGACCTAGTGCCAGCGGATGACCGAGATTTTCAATCAGTCCCAAGAAATTTTCTGGGACTGCTTGAGAAACTCGCCCGCTGATGGGTCTAGAATGAAAAAGTGCGTAAATTTTTCGAATCTGGACATCAGCTCGTTGAAAAATCGCCGAATCACCCCCGGGTTTCCTTATTTTTTTAAAATTGGAAAATCCGCCAGCCCTTTCACCTTGTCGATTTTCGTTTTTCAACGTTAACGTAAACGAAAAATTGAAGAAAATTTTCGGTCTTGAATCAGGATTTAAAAGTTGGGTTAAAAGGCTCAAAAGAAATGCTTTTCGACAAAAATCTTCAACGATTTGGTGTCTCTATGCGCTCTGGATGAAATATGCAATCGGCTGATGTATTGGCTGCAAAAAGATGTATTTTTCTTGGCAAATTTCACTGGCAACTGGCAAATCTCATCGGTTAATCTCAAAGTTAACTTAAAGGAATTATCCAAAGTTACACTTAAAGCTTAAATTTATTAAAAGAAAGCGATCAGTTGAAAAATGAACTCAAAAAAGAGCTTGAAGAATTGAAGAATTGAAGTGCCATTGAAAAACTGAAGTGCCATTGAAGAATTGAAGCGCCATCAATTTATTTGGACGCATCTTCCAAGCCTTTCATCAAAAACTCAAAAGCATCCTACATTTTTTGTCTAAAGGAATTCTCCAAATGGCAAAACGGGCGAGGCGATAATGCGAAGAGATGGTAAACAATTTTTCAGCTCAATTCTGCGATCCCCTCTCTTCACGTCTGTTCAGCGGTCACCTTTCCTTTGAAGATTGCAAAATGCTCGCGCATCGCTGGATAGTTTAACATCGTTTTGATTTCGCCAAGAGAACCCAACTTTGCGAGAACTTCCAATGCTGTTTCTTTTTCCGTATTACTCTCGATCCAGCCGTCTGTTCGGATAATCCCAAAGTGAACGCAACTTGTGATCCTCTTCAAGAGAACTGATTGGCAACGAAGATCGGTGAAAATCGAAGAGCTTGGGTGTTTCTTGATCTCGACAATGTGCATTGAGCGGAAAATGATCGAATGTACGTGTTCTTCCAAAAATCATCTATGGTCGATTGATGAGAATCGCGCGGAATTTCTTGTTGTTCTTCATTAATTCAATGATGTCCCTCGGATGCATCTGTTCCAGGATTTCCAGTTTCAAATCGGAGCAAAGCTTTTCCATCGGGAAGTTGAGAAGATTCGGCATTGGGAATGAGAGTTCCGCCATTCTATCTGAAAATTGAAAGATTACTTCGAAGAAACGAAAATAAATAATGCATCAAAAATATCATTTACTCTATTGATATTGTCAATACAAATCTCAACGCAAACATAAAAGTACCGTTTGGAATCTCGAATCTCTCAAAATTAATTGCTCACTTTCGCATTTATTTGAACTAAATAGGTAAGTGCTGTCATAACAGTAATAAGTAAAAAGCCAATCGCATTTTTGATCAATCCAATCGCCCACAGCATAAATACAGTCATGATTCTAGTGACTCTTTTTCTAATTGCAATAAATTGAAACCCAATCAAGAGAATCGTCAGAATCAGAACGATCACAAAGAGCAATACTCAACGCAAACATAAAAGTATCATTCGAAATCTCGAATCCTCTCAAAATGAATTGATCCCTTTTGCTAAATTTATTTGGACCATACGTAAATGCTGTCATAACAGTAATTTTAAAAAAACGAATTATTCAAAGCATTAAGAAATAGGGTTAGATAAACTTTCATTGAATCGATGAAACATATTTGGCAAAGAAAAAGTAACCATTCAAAACATAATGGTTCACAACAAAAATAATGATTTAAAGCTATTATCGTTCGTTTCGATATTGAAAGCTATTGAGTTTTTATAACTTCTAAAAAAGCTTCTGGTTCTAAAAAAGCCCCGAAAAAAGCCTTCTAACAACATCAAAAAAATGATAAAACAAAAAAAAAAGGAAAATAGCGAAAAGGCTATTGATCTGAGGGTTCGGCTGGTTCGACTCCCACCGGTGACAATATTTTTCAAAAATTTTTTGCTAAGATTCTGAAAATGCGTGTCTAGGGCTTATTTTTGACGCTGATCACGAAACACATGTTTTTAGCCTAGGTTTCTGCACGGAAAACTAAAGAAAAGTGAAAACAGCGATTTTTTGGCTCTGTCGCCCTTTACTAAAATAGCTGTAAAAACTTTTAGAAAAGAGATATCTCAAAACCGTTTTTACTAATCGATCCGTCTTGAATTCAGCTTTAGGATGAGCTATAAAACGTCAAAAATTCGACAAATTTAAGGTACTCCCCCAAAAAAACCGGAAAAGACTTTTCTATCAACCCAATACTTGAAAGCTGAATGGCTTTGAAGAGTACTGGAAAGCTGAATGGCTAGAAGAGTACTGGAAAGCTGAACTAACAAAGTGTATCCTGAATACAAAGTGAATATTAGAGAAAGTGTATGAACAAATAAGGTTAGATAAACTTTCATTGAATCGATGAAACATATTTGGCGAAAAAAGAGTTATCGTTCACAGCATAAATACAGTCACGATTCTGGTCGATTCTTATCCAATAGCAATGAATTGGATTCTCAAGAGAATAAGAAAACATCATCCTGTGTTTTCTCAGCGTTTCAATCATTGTATCCTCGATGAAAGACTTGTTTCGTTCGTTGACATGACGAATTTTGGGCAAGTTCTTGAACCAATTGTTTAATTCAGCTCTCTCCAGCCAATGCAAGAAACAAGCGGCTTCTTTATTTTCACTCGGAATCCCGGAATTCAAAATCAACTCAATTGTCGATACCACATTTTCCGAAAAAATCTCAGTCACGAATAACTCGAGTTGAGTCTTGTTGTGTTCAAAACCGATTTCGCTCGTTTGCTGAACGTCTCAAGCGCTTTCTTCTCTCCTTTCGTCATCTCGAGCGCCTTCTGTCCGACCATTCGTCGTGTCCGCATCATGCCTGAAAATAGAAAGATTTTAGTGGATCAAAGCTAAACGAAGCAAAAATAATGGTTTAAAGCTATTATCGTTCGTGGATATTGAAAGCTATTTCGAAAATTGAAAGATTAATTCGATCAAAGCGAACATAAAAAAAGCATTCACAAACATCACTTACTCTACTGACACAATATTTTTGTCAATACCAATCTCAACGCAAACATAAAAGTATCGTTCGAAATCTCGAATCCTCTCAAAATTAATTGACCAGTTTTGCAAAATTTTTTATTTGGACTAAATAGGTAAGTGCAGTCATAACAGTAATACTGTAACGGTAATAAAAACAAAGTGAATACTGAATACAAAGTGAATATTAGAGAAAGTGCATGAACAAATAAGGTTAGATAAACTTTCATTGAATCGATGAAACATATTTGGCGAAAAAAAACTTATCGTTCACAGCATAAATACAGTCACGATTCTCGTCGATTCTTATCCAATAGCAATGAATTGGATTCTCAAGAGAATCAGGATTACCAAGAGAGTAAGAAAACATAGTCCCGTGTTTTCTCAGCGTTTCCATCATTGTATCCCTGATGAAAGTCTTGTTTCGTTCGTTGACATCACGAATTTCAGGAAAGTTCTTGATCAAATTGTTAATTTCAACTGCCATTTCATCGCGCAAAAGACGCACGAAACAAGCGGCTTCTTTATTTCCACTCGGAATTCCGGAATTTAGAATCAACTCAATTGCCGATACGACATTTTCCACAAAAAGCTGAGTTACGAATAACTCGAGTTGAGTCTTCGAAAGTGCCGAATAAACTGCTGGATATAGATCAGCAACAGCTAATGAGATCCTTCTGCAATTTTGAAGTCTTCCACCGATTAAAGACGACCAAAGCTCTTGTTTTACTTCGTCCTTCCGAGGGTAAACCTTCAATAATGCTCGATCGGTGACTTCAGCTTTTAAATTCACTAAAGAATCGTTGAAATCCTTTCCATCAATGATCCACATATCCAACTCATCGACTTGTTTCAAATTGGCGAAGATCTTCTTGAGTGTCAAAAGTTCCTTCTCATCAATGCCGTCTCCAGCAGGTGAAATGTTCAAAGATGAACATCGTTCAACTTGTGCCAAGAGAAAAACATCCGAATAGAGAGGAGTTGATCCCGGGAATTTCGTGACTCGAATGATTGAGGTTGGATCATCCCAATTTTCTCCTTTTGTCATGTCAATTGAAATGTCAATCGAATGGACTTGTTTTCCAAAAATCCGTGTTGGTTTCTGGAGAAGAATCCCTCGAAATCTTCTGTCAACTTTCATCAATTCGGGCACATCTGTTGGATCCAATTCATCGATTACTTCCAAAGCGAGATCGTAGCAGAGTTTTCCCATCGCGAATTTGAGAAGATTGGGCATCTCGAATCTTCTCAAATTCGAGATTCTGAAAACTGGAAGTTCTGCCATCGTGCCTGAAAATTGAAAGATTAAAAAAGAACAACCGGTAAATATATTGCAGAAAAGTTGGCTAAAAAACAAAAACAAGCTAGAAGGTGAGGACAAATGCGGATTTTTAACTAAAGTTTGATAAAATCTTTGATTTCTCTAAAACTTGTGATGATCTTCAGTGCATAAACAACAATAATCAAAGTTTTACATCTAAAAGGAGCTAATATTGACTCAAAAGATTTCAACAGTCACTCTTTTTAAGTAAAAGCGTGTCGTAGACCAAAAATAGCTGATTTGTCATCAAAACAATGCTTAAAACTAGTAAGATCTGCGCTTAAAAAGATATAAAAGTCTATTCTAAAAAGCAACAACAACGCTAAAAGTTTTCGTTGTCTCGCTATCAGTCAAGGATTCAAGGTGCTCTTAAATGGTACAACGCAAATGTTCTATAGTACAACGCAGATGTTCTATAGTAATAAACAACAATAATCAAAGCTTTACATCTAAAAGGGGCTAAAATTGACTCAGAAAGATTTAAACAGTCGCTCTTTTTAAGTAAAAGCGTGTCGTAGACCAAAAATAGCTGATTTGTCATCAAAACAATGTTTAAAACTAGTAAGATCTGCGCTTAAAAAGATATAAAAGTATATTCTAAAAAGGAACAAATCAAAAAGCTCAAAATATGGCAGAAAAGAGCACCTATAACTTTCGGGGAGAAGAGGAAAATGATTTCCCAACAGGAAAATTTCCGTTTATACCGTCAATTGGTACCGTAGCCTATGAGGTTGTCTTTTAGAATTAGAATTTCGGTGTTTCTCTGTTTCTCGTTAATTTTTTTTGTTTCGGAAGATTTCGGACTTATGCGATTTCAGAAGAACGGAGAGAAAAGCTACGAGGAACCAATTGAAACTTGAAATCGAACTTACTAGGGAACTGTTTCAACTAACCACCGATTTTCGAAACCGGGCCGTATTGGAACCGTATTAGAAAATGCCCCCGTAGAATTCTAAGAAACACGTATTTCCCCCCCATGGACCCTGGCTTTCGAGAAAAACATGTTCAAAGTTTCGGTAATTTTTGGCGAGGGGGACTCTCTGCGAATAAGTTGGTGTCAAATAGAAGTCTCAAATCAACTGAATAACCAGTACTCCTTGGTCTTTTCTACTGCAGTCCATTTCCTAACTTGCATGCTACAATTTGGCATCATTAGCCAGGTAAAGCTAATCATGCCTAATAATGGCCAATTTCAGGTTGTTTCACAACAAACTTCACCGTAATCGTTTCGAATTCAAAATCATTAGCTAAATCTAACTCAAAAAGTCTACAACGCTTTATTCGTGAAAAATTAACTCGAGAATTCGCATGTATGTGTAAACGTTAGATCAAAAGTTAAACGACCAACTGAAAAGAATAACATTAAGTACTTATAAGATCAAAACAAATAAAATAGAAACGATAATAAAAAGATTAGAAAAATTTCAACAACTCCATTTAGTCAGTTCCGTTTGATCACTCGGCGTTTCGCTTTCTCCATTGCAATCTAAAGAAAACCGATAAAATTATTGGAGAAATAGGCTATCTGAAAGGCACAACGTTTCTTCGCATTAAAAGTTGACCCAGTTACTATAGCCCCGGTTGATCATAGTTTCAGCTGACCACGGTAATATAGCAAAAAAGAGTTCAAATCTCACTAGGGCGCTCCAAATTCGGAAATCGTGCAAGCTGGAGCGCACAGCTCGACAAGGCATCAAAAATAAATTAAAACTCACCAATTTGCGTAATTCTTCCATTTGCATCTGCTGCTCGCCGAGCTTCGTGTACATCTAAAAATAAGAGATAAGCCGTAAAATAAGCTTTGTGGTGGACAACATAGAATTCAAATAATCATAACTCTCACCATCTCCTCCTCCCTTTCCTTTTCGCCCAAGGTTGCCTTTAAACGCGTGCAAGCTTCTCGAATAGCTTGAGCTTCATCGTCGGTGATTTTATCCTCTAAAAAGACAGAAATTGACCAAAATCTAATAAAAGAAAAGCTACTATCGTTACTATTTCAAATATCTAAGACCAACCATCGTTTCCGGATCGTTGACCAACCAAGACCTGCTCCTAAAATAGAAAAGTGTTGAATTATCGAAGTGGCAAGTTGCATGATGATCCTTGTAACGGTCAGTTCTAGTGAAATCTCACTCTGAGATCTGAGAATCTGAACCAAAGCTCCAAAACAGCACTATTTTCCACCTACAACGACCTTTTACAGTCAGTTTACAACTGGCAGAGTTACATAGAGTTACAAATTTACTTTCTGCTTTCTTTTGTTACAAGTCGACCTTTCAAAAAACCCACCAACGACCCAGAAATCAAATTTTCCACGGCACGAGCATGCGTCAGTGAAGGAGCGTCGGTGGGCGCCTCGCGTGAAATCTCACGTTGAACTTGAAGCTAAATGGGAAAATTTTCAATGTAGCTTTAGCATTTGTGAACCGATCCGGCTAATAGAATCCAGCAATCCAGAAGCCAGACGGCCGATTTGAGTCAATCCTTCAAACGAACCTCAGCACGTTGACCCAAAGAAGAAGAAGCGGTGTCGACCCCAGGCAATGTTGATGGAGTGAAGGAGGCGGCTGGCGGATCAACTCAATCGGCGACGATTGCTAAAAAAGGATAAATATTTGTTAGACTGAGTCAGAGTCAAAACGCTTGCCCCCAAACAAACCTCAACTCGCGAACGCTCAACGGCAGCGGTGCCGACTGTTGGAGGAGTGAATGCAACGGCTTGTGGATCCAAAGTGGACTGGAGTGGTGGAGATTCCTAAAGAATTAATGATTCGCAAGACTTGGACTTACCACGAACTATCAAAACCAAAACCCACCACCATACTCTCATCACTGATCTCAATTGGCACCGCGCGAGGATCGTAGATGAAATTCTTGAACTAAAATATGAGAGATCGTTGAAACTTTGGTGCAAATCTTTACCGGATCCTCCTTTTCAACCGCTTTCAATTGGCCATTCTCGCCCGGTTTCACCACATTCTCTTGTTGAAGGTTCTAAAACTTGAATACATCTCAATGTCTCTCGTACTGGCCCCCTCTTGGAGCATTGCAGCGAATGCTTCAGCATCCAGATGCCAAAATTCGGCAAGATAATCACAAACTTTTATAGAAAAACTTTGAAAAGCAACTTTTCTAACAAATTTTGACGTTTTTGAGGGAAATTCGGCTTAAAACATGCAAACATGGGATGAAAATTTGATAATTTTGCACATGTGCTGAAGGAGATATTCAGTCAATTAGAAAAATATTACAGAAAAGGCAAATTTTTCTCAATGAAAGTATAAAAGAACATCGGCGAATTTTCATTTTTCATTTTTTTCATTTTAGAAGAATTCGCTTAAAATTTAGTGCTTATCTTGTTGAAAGTGCTCAGTGCGAGTGCAATTTTATCGAATTTGGCATGTTTTTCCCTCAAGAACGTCAAATAATCACAAATTTGTTAGAAAAGTTGCTTTTCAAAGTTTTTCTATAAAAGTTTGTGATTATCTTGCCGAAAACCTTCCGCGCATGTGCAAAATTATCAAATTTTCATCCCATGTTTGCATGTTTTAAGCCGAATTTCCCTCAAAAACGTCAAAATTTGTTAGAAAAGTTGCTTTTCAAAGTTTTTCTATAAAAGTTTGTGATTATCTTGCCGAAAACCTTCCGCGCATGTGCAAAATTATCAAATTTTCATCCCATGTTTGCATGTTTTAAGCCGAATTTCCCTCAAAAACGTCAAAATTTGTTAGAAAAGTTGCTTTTCAAAGTTTTTCTATAAAAGTTTGTGATTATCTTGCCGAAAACCTTCCGCGCATGTGCAAATTTATCAAGGTTTATCGATTCTCACCTATTTAGAGCATAATTTCTACCTAGGCAGTCAAAAATTTTGCCCAATTTCTCCCCAAAGCGTGTCCCTTTTTGCGTTTTTCTCTCAAGTTTCTTATTTTTACAAGATTTCATGCGAATTCTATTCTTTCCAGGGCCTACAACGGACTCAATTTGATCAAGAGCCGGCAAGAAATGGAAGCACCATTCGAATTGCATAAATGCACGGTGGGTGGTTAGAATTTGCACTTCACCAGCAGTTAGAGCATGATTTTATGTTTTACTCAATTCAGCATGTTAGATTAGTTTAATTTTGCCCAAAGCAAGCAATTCGTTGAAAATTTTGTCATTTCTCCGTAAAACGCTTCAAAATCGAATGTTTGTGCCAAATTTTTGGTTGATCGATGTGCTGAATTGATAGAATGGACCTTTTTGATTACTTTTATCTTGTTTTAACTCGAGTCTTCAAGTTTTAAATTGCTTGGAATTACTTTAAAAGCTTCCACACTCAATTCAGCATGTTCTTTTTCCTAGAAAATGCAAAATTCCAGAGAGAAGTGTTAAAGTTGTGCTCTAAATGCGTTTAGAGTAATCCTTTGTCATATTTTATAGCATTTCCCTATTCAGAAGTGCGCCCAATTACTGTTGTCTTCGTTCGAGGCGCGAAAACACGCTTTCACGCACATGACGTGAGTTTTTTGGTGTTTTGAATCTGCTTAACTTGAAGGCAGTATGAGATTTACATAAAGATATTCGACCAAGCTTGAGCTAAAGCAGTTAAAACTTGCTCAGGAACTGGGTCAGAACCAAGCTGACGACTTGTTTTTTGTTGGCTAGCCAAATTTTGGGCTTAATAGTCGCTTAAATAAGATATTTGATCGACCTTGTGCTAAAATTTGAGCTACAGCTGCAAAATCTGATTCAATTTATCACTAAAAGTTTGATTTTCATGTTTAATTTTTTTATGCTCAATCTCCTTTCATTTAGTGATTGCACATTATGCTGTGATGTGTGCGATTTCATGAGCGATTCTGAATTGAAGATCAATCAACACATCAACACTCATGACCCGCAAGCGAAGATGACATACCTGATGTGAGGATTTTTTAAAAAACAGCTTAAACAAGTGCTACAGCAAAATCTTGAGTGGAAATTCAAGATGTTGAAATGCACTTGTTGAGCAAGGATACAAATTGGTTGCCGTCAAAAGTTTGAGCGAACATTTTTTCAAGTTGTCACACAAATTGCAAAGCTAATAATTTAAAGCCTTTGATTAAAAAGAAGACAATGTTATCGTTGTAAAACGTGCTAATCGCTTCTTTTTAGCAAACTCTCGGACCTGGACAACGCGGAGCGCACGTCGATCGAGTGTTTCCCGGATATGCATGTCGATTTGCATCAATTCTTCAACAAATATCGAGAACGCGCGGTATCCGCTTAGGCATCGATTATTAGATCGTGTTAAAATATTTACCGTAAATGCTGTATTAGGATGGCATGTCATTCTTTTTTTTCAACCCCTCAAAATCGACCGATCCAAAAAGTAGGTAAGGGGGGATCACATGAATCAAAAATTTAGAATTCGTTCAAAACCATTTTAAATGATGGTCCTTTGTCCAAAACGTACAAAAAAACACGTTTAAAAGTGAAGTTATTTTCTCGTGGTGTCAGTTTAATACAGCATTTACGGTACTTTAGGGATCGCAGCTTGGCAACAAGCAACAACACACTGGACAAAAGAACCCTCGCTTGGACGCTGATCGACAACAGGAAGCTAGCCGTGAAGAAAATGCTGTGGCAAAGATGAATGAGGAAGGAATGGTGAGTGAAAGAGTTGAAAATGGTATCCAGAGGCTTGGACCTGCACTTGTAAGCGAGGCTGGCTCGGGTTAGACCCAGGCTTTTGCTTGGCCCAAGCGCTTTTTATGGGCTTTGTCCAGCCCTTCTGGCTTGCTCTTGGCCTTTTGGGCCTAGGAATTTCAAGAAGGAAAAGTTAAATGATAATTTTGGCATCTGGATGCTGAAGCATCCGCTGCAATGCTCCAAGAGGGGGCCAGTACGAGAGACATTGAGATGTATTCAAGTTTTAGAACCTTCAACAAGAGAATGTGGTGAAACCGGGCGAGAATGGCCAATTGAAAGCGGTTGAAAAGGAGGATCCGGTAAAGATTTGCACCAAAGTTTCAACGATCTCTCATATTTTAGTTCAAGAATTTCATCTACGATCCTCGCGCGGTGCCAATTGAGATCAGTGATGAGAGTATGGTGGTGGGTTTTGGTTTTGATAGTTCGTGGTAAGTCCAAGTCTTGCGAATCATTAATTCTTTAGGAATCTCCACCACTCCAGTCCACTTTGGATCCACAAGCCGTTGCATTCACTCCTCCAACAGTCAGCACCGCTGCCGTTGAGCGTTCGCGAGTTGAGGTTTGTTTGGGGGCAAGCGTTTTGACTCTGACTCAGTCTAACAAATATTTATCCTTTTTTAGCAATCGTCACCGATTGAGTTGATCCGCCAGCCGCCGCTTGATCCGCCAGCCGCCTCCTTCACTCCATCAACATTGCCTGTGGTCGACACCGCTTCTTCTTCTTTGGGTCAACGTGCTGAGGTTCGTTTGAAGGATTGACTCAAATCGGCCGTCTGGCTTCTGGATTGCTGGTTTCTACTAGCCGGATTGGTTCACAAATGCTAAAGCTACATTGAAAATTTTCCCATTTAGCTTCAAGTTCAACGTGAGATTTCACGCGAGGCGCCCACCGACGCTCCTTCACTGACGCATGCTCGTGCCGTGGAAAATTTGACTTCTGAGTCGTTGGTGGGTTTTTTGAAAGGTCGACTTGTAACAAAAGAAAGCAGAAAGTAAATTTGTAACTCTATGTAACTCTGCCAGTTGTAAACTGACTGTAAAAGGTCGTTGTAGGTGGAAAATAGTGCTATTTTGGAGCTTTGGTTCGTCAGATTTCACTAGAACTGACCGTTACAAGTAGAGTGTGCTCCTTGTTGACAGACAATTTGTCAGACAAATTTTCATTGACAACTTTTTTGTCAGACAATTGATCCGACAAACTTCCGACAACGCGTTTTCTAAAAGGTGCGCTTTTTAAGCAAACCTATAAAGGTCGCTCAAAAAAAATTTGCAAACTTTTCTTAAAATATAGTAATGGATAGTTTTATTTAAGGATTTAGGTTTTTTAGGGCGTGGATTTTTTTTTGGAATGGTTCTAGTGCAAATGTAGACAATAGGCCTGGTAAATTCGTAAATGATATCATTTTTTAATAGTGTTTCTTAACTTTTCCCGTTTTAAATGTTTTCTTTAATTTTACATAGCATTTAAAAATTTTTAAGTTTTAGCGAAAGAGTAATAGAAAAAAAGAGCGCAAGATTTTAATGTACAATTGCATTTTGAAAAATTTGCTGATGCAAAGCATAGGGTTACGGTAGCTTATCCATGGCGCGCGCTTTTTAGAAAACGCGTTGTCTGCAAGGAACACACTCTAGTTACAAGGATCATCATGCAACTTGCCACTTCGATAATTCAACACTTTTCTATTTTAGGAGCAGGTCTTGGTTGGTCAACGATCCGGAAACGATGGTTGGTCTTAGATATTTGAAATAGTAACGATAGTAGCTTTTCTTTTATTAGATTTTGGTCAATTTCTGTCTTTTTAGAGGATAAAATCACCGACGATGAAGCGCAAGCTATTCGAGAAGCTTGCACGCGTTTAAAGGCAACCTTGGGCGAAAAGGAAAGGGAGGAGGAGATGGTGAGAGTTATGATTATTTGAATTCTATGTTGTCCACCACAAAGCTTGTTTTACGGCTTATCTCTTATTTTTAGATGTACACGAAGCTCGGCGAGCAGCAGATGCAAATGGAAGAATTACGCAAATTGGTGAGTTTTAATTTGTTTTTGATGCCTTGTCGAGCTGTGCGCTCCAGCTTGCACGATTTCCGAATTTTGAGCGCCCTAGTGAGATTTGAACTCTTTTTTGCTATATAACCGTGGTCAGCTGAAACTATGATCAACCGGGGCTATAGTAACTGGGTCAACTTTTAATGCGAAGAAACGTTGTGCCTTTCAGATAGCCTATTTCTCCAATAATTTTATCGGTTTTCTTTAGATTGCAATGGAGAAAGCGAAACGCCGAGTGATCAAACGGAACTGACTAAATGGAGTTGTCTAATCTTTTTATTATCGTTTCTATTTTATTTGTTTTGATGTTATAAGTACGTAATGTTATTCTTTTCAGTTGGTCGTTTAACTTTTGATCTAACGTTTACACATACATGCGAATTCTCGAGTTAATTTTTCACGAATAAAGCGTTGTAGACTTTTTGAGTTAGATTTAGCTAATGATTTTGAATTCGAAACGATTACGGTGAAGTTTGTTGTGAAACAACCTGAAATTGGCCATTATTAGGCATGATTAGCTTTACCTGGCTAATGATGCCAAATTGTAGCATGCAAGTCAGGAAATGGACTGCAGTAGAAAAGACCAAGGAGTACTGGTTATTCAGTTGATTTGAGACTTCTATTTGACACCAACTTATTCGCAGAGAGTCCCCCTCGCCAAAAATTACCGAAACTTTGAACATGTTTTTCTCGAAAGCCAGGGTCCATGGGGGGAAATACGTGTTTCTTAGAATTCTACGGGGGCATTTTCTAATACGGTTCCAATACGGCTCTTTCTTTGATCTAATACGGTTCCAATCAGGCCCGGTTTCGAAAATCGGTGGTTAGTTGAAACAGTTCCCTAGTAAGTTCGATTTCAAGTTTCAATTTGGTTCCTCGTAGCTTTTCTCTCCGTTCTTCTAAAATCGCGTAAGTCCGAAATCTTCCGAAACTACAACAAACATGCTGTTTTTGTTTTTGATTTTTGTACAATTTCAAGTTGAATTGTGCTTTTCGGACCACCACACCCATTTGTTTCGTCTTTTTCGCTGACAATCTGATCGAATATAAGCACTCTTTTAAAAGTCACAGAAGATAAAAGAAGCAAACGAGAGAGAGAGAGATTCACCCCGTTATCGGCCTTTGATCCGTTCAAAATGTTTCTTTTTCTTCTCCCAATTTTTTTCCACTTTCTTCGAGCTGATCTAACTTGCCCTAAAAATTACGATTACAACAGTGGTTTGGAGGCTTGCTTGTATGTTCCGGGGATACAAGGTGAGCAAAGCTTTGGAAATCAATTACACATTTTCCAGTCAGTTTTCCAAAAAGTTATTGCTTTAATTCGCGGTCATCCTGTAGGATCGTTAAGATAGTCTAAATGATAAATAAAATTGGCTATAATATTGAACTTCGACTTGAAAATACTTTTTCAATGATAAACCAATCATTTTCTTGAATTTTTCGGACTTGCTAGTCATTGTGCATACCGTAAATCTATTATACAGTAGCGGACAAAGACTTAGCATAATTTAGTGTTTTTGTAATAAAACTCGCTGTTTGTGCAATATTTACCTAAAACTTCGAAATATAATAATAAAACTTGATGTTTTAACAAAAACAATTGGTATTTAGCCAAATAGAGTTTCAGAAAAAAATTTTGAAGATTTTTATACAAAACTGGTGCGACAAAGACTTAGCATATTTTTAATAACATATTAACTAAAGCTGGTAACAAATGTTTTTGAAATCAAAACAACAAAATTCGTTTTTAACAATTAATACTTCGTAGGAAAACCATTCGAGGCGATGACAGCATTACATCTGCGAGGCATGGACTCGATAAGTTCATCGATCGTCTTTTTTGGAATCTCCGACCACTTCTTGGCTAAGAGATCAAATTTATCCTGAGCATTTTGAGTTCTAATCCCTTTGCAGATTCTTCCCAGCGTTTCCCACAAATGCTCAATAGGATTCAGGTCGGGGCTTTGGCTTGGCCACTCCATAACGGCAAAGTTTTGTTGCGACAGCCAGTTTTGAACGAGTCGAGCCTTGTGTTTTGGATCGTTATCATGCTGAAAAGTGAAATTTGGAGGCATAGTTTGAACTGCATTTGGAAGCATATGGTTTGTCAAAATGTCCAAATAAACTCGTTGATCCATAATCCCAGTGATTCGCTTGAGTGGTAGAGTTCCATAAGAAGAGAAGCCACCCCATACGAGAACGTTTCCGCCGCCATGTTTGACTGTAGGGAGAATGTAGTTTTTATTGTATCTTTGGTTAACTGGACGTCGAATATACTGAATTCCATCAGAACCAAGTAGGGAAAACTTGCTTTCATCAGTGAACAAGCAATCTTTCCACTGCTGAAGAGTCCACCCTTGATGCTCCTTAGCAAACTTCACTCGGGCTTTCCGATTTTTTGCTGAAATCAATGGTTTCTTGGCAGGACGTCTCCCGAATAGTCCTTTAGCGTTTAGACGACATTGCACCGTTCGCGGAGTGATCTTATCTTTCAAAGAAGTTGGTAAATCTTTGTAGATCTCAGTTGCAGGCTTCTGAGGATTGCTTTTTGATAAGGTTTGAATCCTGTTATCATCTCGGAGTAGTTGTTTTCCGTGAGAAACCAACATTCTTTTTTGCAATTGTGCTTCCTTTTGTCTTGAAAAGCTTCAAAATTCTCGAAACGGTCGACTGGTGCACCCTCAGAATGGTAGCAATTCGATCCTGTCTCTCACCGGCTTGATGAAGAGCCACAATCGTATCCCGAATAGCAGGCTGGAGTTGTTTCTTGCGACCCATTGACTGAAATTAATAAAATAATAAATTTCAATCAAATTATAGCTCAAATTAAGAAAAAAAAACACAGAAAAATAATTAAAATTACTGGGAAATGCAAAATTATGCTAAGTCTTTGTCGCACCAGTTTTGCATAAAAATCTTCAAAATTTTTTTCTGAAAGTCTATTTGGCTAAATACCAATTGTTTTTGTTAAAACATCAAGTTTTATCATTATATTTCGAAGTTTTAGGTAAATATTGCACAAACAGCGAGTTTTATTATAAAAAAACTAAATTATGCTAAGTCTTTGTCCGCTACTGTATATAAGAGTTGTGTATGTCTGTCTGGCTGTCTGTGCGCACTATTCCTCCGCTTCCGGTGGGCCGTTTCAAATGACTTATAATTAGTTTGGCTTAGAATTCCATGTAGTTGTGCAACATGGTTTTAAATTCCTAAAAAACCAAAAGTGCCGATGCGGATGGGAGTCGAACCCGGGTTGTGTGGGCTAGAGACAAGCCGCATTAAGTTAACGTCTGGCCGAGTTAACGTCTCTCGAGCATGACCGAGCGGCTCTCAAACAAACGGAAGAGAGAGGTCGCCGCTTCGACTCCTCTCGCCGCCAAGTCTTTTCCTTTTTTGCTGTGAAGCTGCTGGTACTCTAATCCATCCTCATAATGAAGAGCGTACAATCGCGTAGTCTAACTTTGGCGTGGTGGTGGCGTTCTATTAGAGTATCGGTAAATTTCAGGGAAATTCGATGATGCTCTCTCGTTTTGTCGACAATCTGGCGGAGATCTTCTCACAATTCACAACGCTTTTCAAAATGCATACATCGCGTCATTGCACAAAAGTCGATAGCATTTATTCAATTAGAAAATAGCAGAAATTTTAGACTTATTCCCTGATGGAAAGGGTTGGATCGGAGCTAACGATCAGGGAAATGGCAACTGGACATGGAGTGATGGGAAAAAATGGGATTATGATCGTTTATATCTTACAAGTGGGTGATTAGAGCCGATGACAACATCAGTGACTGTGTTTTTTTAGTATTTGGGTCAAATGTTGGGGTGATTTATTGTGATTGAGGCTTTTGGGAAGTATATTCGGATTTTAATGTTTTTCCCTTGAAGAGGTACAATGGGAAAGTACCGAACTTTTTTCACAAAAGTTCTTTAAACCATTTGATAGCATTTCCCAACAGCTAGAAGTCGGAACTGAATCGGAACTGAATCACAACTGAATGGGAATCGAATGGGAACCAAACGGGAACCAAATCTGAACCGAATCTACCCAACGGTGCCAAGGAATTTTTTGAAACCCCCATTGACGACAAATTTCCAAATCCAGTGTTTAACGTCTAAAAAATGCTCATGTTGCAATGTATTCAAAGTTATCGACTATAAACCTCTCGATTTTCTAGATCATTTCGGCCCCGTCGCCTATATGGATGCTAGTGAGCAAGTGTGGTGGAAAGAGGCTCGCAACGTCACCTACTCGTTTCTTTGTGCTTCACCGGTGACCGGCTTGACAGAACTCACATCGACACCATCACCAATCACCATCAATCCCACCAATTATCCAGAACCGCTCAACTGCTTGCCATGTAAGTGTTTTGATGAAAGCTTGTTAAAGAAGTGGAGGAATTGGCGATACAAGCTAGATAATTTAAGTATTCTAAACTCATTTCACGTCACCCAAAGACGAGCCGAGTTTCACAGAACTCAAACTTTTCTAATAGTTGTTCTAGTTACATTTGCTATCACGAAAAGCCTGCTAAAAGATAAAACATTACCAAAGGTTTCAATAAGCTTTTTAAGAGCTTTTTAAGAA